ACAAAACATTTAACCGAACAATACTTTCAAACAAATCGAATAAGTATTTAATTTGCATGACTGCACCTTATATCCTCCTTTCGCCATGCTCGGACGCCAAATCACCCGGCCAAAGGTGAGTTGAACCAAGCGACGCACCACTCATTAGGTCTAATGAGGGCTTACCACGTGGTAATAATTAATCGAACAGAAATTTTTATTAACACCATATATTAAAATACCCTGACAAGTCATACATCATTCAAATATCCAAATAGGAATATATCCGAACAATAATATCTCATCGTGATAAACAAAAATAAATTTTTGATCCACTTGGCAATAATCTCAAACAAGTATATATATACAGTATTTATTTTCATTAATTCATAATTTTTTCAAACAATAAAACAACACATAACCATTCACAAACACACCCATCACAACACATTAATAATGGTTACTTTGTGTCTTGAATAACAAGTTCCCCTTCACAACTCCTTTTTTACCACTATCTTTGTCAATATAATCTACATAATTATTTCACAATACTATATATTAATTTTACATTAAAATAAATAACTCTAATTTAAAGAGTTAGAAAGTCTTAGATTTATAATCCATATTAACATTAATTTAAGATTTATGCCTCATTTAACTTCCCAAATTCTTTTCTAAAATTCTCGTACCCTAATAAACTATTTTTTTATCCTCAATTCACTTCTAGTATCACAATTTCATCCTTCTATATTCTAAAAATTCATCCAAAAATAAATTAAAAATTTTAGAATTATCCTGAAGCCTCAAATCACCTTTCTATAACCTCAAAAATACCTATTCATACTTAAATAAATATTTAATAATCATAGGTTTATCCCTACATCTCAGATTCCACATAAATTCAACCATATAGATCTAGATTTTAACTCAAAAATTCTTAAACATGAGTTTCAACCTCAAGAAAATATTTTATAATATTTATAATATTCCTAAGAGTTTTAACCTATATTTTTAATCCATCATATCATCAGATTAACTATCCTATAAAAAAATCCTAATCAGAATATTTACTCTATCCTACAAAATAATCATATCACTAGAAAGCTAATATTATTTAGAAAATAACTATAAAATTAATTTTATAATTAAATAAATTTTTAAATGTCAATCTAAACAGGAAAGTTAGAACATACCTGAATAAAAAGAAAATAATCTCCCCTTGCGAGAAAACGCTGAGCAACGTGAGAGTAAGAGAGAAAAATAATATAAAAATGGGATTGTGGTCCCAAAATTATATTAAAAAAAATTATAAGTTTGAATTTAATTATTCAAACTTTTGGGTCATTACTTGTAATTTTCACAAATTACATCTTAGGCCCTTAGTTGTAATTTTCACAAATTATAATAAAAATTTCCTCATGCTTCCTCCACAATGCACCTTCTCTTTTTATACATGAGGAGGTGCCTTTCATTCCCACATCTAACCGATGTGGGACTAAACCTCCTCCCTTTTTTTTTTACTTTCTTTTCTTTTTTTTTTTAACTCTCACACACACATTAACAATAATTTTTTTTAAATCTTAAAATTATATCTTAACAAAATATTTTTTATATAATTTTAAACTTAAGTTTTTAATTCATAATTAAATGCCTAACCATATTATTATTTTCAAATAACCTCAAATAATATAAATTCCTATTATTATCATCATTTTTTTAAAAAAAACTTAAATTTCATAAAAAAATTTTTATCTAAAAATTAGGATGTTACATCATTCGTGAAAAACAACATTTCATTCCATTTTAACAATAAATAATTCCATAACTAACAAGTCTATAACATCAACCATTTGATGAACAGTGTTTTGGTCTAGTCAACATGTCATTATTTGGGAAATAACAAGTCATTATTTCCTTTTAACAACAATTAATTTCTTAATTAAAAAGTCTAGAACATTAACCATTTGAAGGAGAGTAGCAACTATCTTAGTCTGGTGAACAAGTCACCACTAGGGAAATAACAAGTTACTGTTTCCTTTAACAACAATCAATTCCTTAATTAATAAGTTCAAAAAATGATCATTTTCATTAACAGAATCAAGTGTTGAAATTTGAAGAACAAATCACTTTTCGGGAAAAACAACCCCTTTTCCCATTTTAACAAAAAACTATTCATGAATTAACAAATATTTCCATTGTATTGTAGTAACTAATACATACACAACATTAATTTCACCTAATTTCATACTAATACTTGTCATTGTAGCAATAAATACTCTCATCAAATTTTGTATCTATTTACATCATATTGTTGCGTGTTTCCCTACTTTTTCAGTCTAAATTTGGATTCTTGCAACTCTTGTGAGTGTGAAAGCCTCATCATATCTAGAACAATGATAAACTTTATTTTTAAAATTGTGATTCTATCTAATTTTATCCTCCTACTCCGTGGCCTTCCTGAAGGTCGGCTAGTCAACGACAGTTGGAGAAAGATTGATGTGAAAAAAATTTGTTATCTATTGCTTGCCACCTGTCATATCAACTTGCAACCATTTAAACTAATTTTTACTCTTAATTTTGAATTCAAAATTACAATTCTAATATCAATAATATATCATTATTATTCTAACATTAGAAAGTTCAATAGTTTCAGATTTTAACTAAATTTGACACTATTTTTTTAATTCATAATTACAATTCTAATCTCAACAATATATTATTACTATTTTAACAATAGACAATTCAATAATTATAGACTTTCCTTCCCAATAATCATACTAAATTACTGCCAAGCAACAAAATAAAATATCCCAAATCAATCACATAGCAGTGTTAACAACAAAAGACTAACCATATCAAATTCTCATTTGACAATAAAATTTACACAGAGAGGGAAGAAACAGAGAGTAAAGTTTCAATATTCAACAACAAAGTTTCATTTTTAATGGAAATTGAGAAATTTAGAGGGATCCATCCATCTTCAATCTATAACAGTAATGGGTATTAGATACTAAGGTACTTTTACCCAGCAAATAAAAATCTCCTAGCAAACTTCACTCCTTTGAGGAATGATGGGTGCTTGCAGCCTTGTGTAGAGAATATATCAAAGTGTCATGAACTATATAAAAAACATATTAAGCTACTTCCTAGAGAAGACATGCCCAAAATTAAGAAAACCTCATTCATAAATGAGAAATATTCATCAACAACAAAAATATTTTAATGATTTAGCATAGTCTTTTCAAACACGCTTTTCTTTTGGATTTTGAAGGCAGAGAATGATGCAAGATCATAATCATTAAAAAAAATCAGTTTCTTTTGAAGATAATAAATCCAAGAAATGATAATAATTATAAGATTTTAAGAGGAAAAGAGAAGAAAACAAAAGACAATAATAGCAAGGTGATATGAAATTAATAGAGGGAACTTGGATGATTGATGGTGGCTAATGGATCTTCGCCAGTGTCTATCATTGCTGAAATGAGGACAACAATAAAAGGAGGTCTTTGATATTTCCTAGTATGGTGATTGAACTGGGCGTAAGGGATTGAGGAGGTGACGAGTGGGGTGAGGTTCAAAAAGATGGGTGTGGGTGTCAGCTCAAACACTAAGGGAAATTATGTATTTTTACAATCAAAATTACTTACAGTTAGAACCTTACGGACTGCAGTATTAAATTAAAATTCATTAGTCCTCAATTGTGAATATGTTTCTCTAGGGGTTCCTTGTTAAGATTTTTCCTAAAATTAAACACAGTTTATAATTTTATTTTTTCAAAACAAAAATTTAAATTTTTAATAATATCTTTCATTTAATCCTCTATTGATGAACGAACATTAATGAGAGATAATATGTGAAAAAGTTAATATTAAAAAAATATTATTAATAAAATTTTATTTATATCAAAATATTTTATATTTTAAAATGTTGATAGAGGGAGCGATTTATTTTCTTTTGTCTGAATGAGGCAAATCCCTGTTTCTCCAGCGGGCAAATTATTCTCGTAGTTTAAACGAACATGTTTATAAATAATGGGCTGAATAAAATATTGAATACTATTTTATTAATATTAAAACGCAACCAAACGCTCGAATATTCTGCTGATGGCAGAACACCGAGGCCGGTTTTTGTTTGGTCCTTTTTTTTGTTTGTTTGTTTGGTTCAATTTTTATTTCAAGTCATGTTTTTATGTTGTCATTTTTCTAACGCATCACATGGAAAAATCTAAACATAATAAAACACAATATCTATAATCTTTATACATCTCTTTTCTGCCAGGTTTTATATGAAACCATATCTACTTCGGCTAATATTTCATTTTCTCAGTGGAATGATTACATTTTTGCCGATTCTGTTTTGACATTCAAAGAACATTCACAAAAACCATTTATACCGTGTTTATATGTAGGAGTGATTTTTGTGGAAACACCGATATAGAAATGTGGATTAACTTTGTTGCATAAGGGGATATTACAACTTATGTTCATGTTTATTGTAAAGACTGAGAATATCGTTTTACTTTTGTTTAATTAAATGAAAAAATAAAAACCAGGAAATATAATCAAATAACAAGGGCAATCATGTAAATTTCGTATAAATTTATTTTATAATAAATTCTTATTATTAATTTCATCAACACATTAAAGATCCATTTGTCATGATTTAATTGGATATTACAATTTAATTGGGTAAATTAGTCTTTCCCTTAAAATATTTATTTTAGTTTCAATTTTTTTAAAAAATTATTACTACTTAGGAACAGTTTTCAAGACATGTTGATTGGAAGATCATAGAAATATTCTTTCTTCAAAAATGGATTGATCACCTTCCATTGGCAATTGACTATTTTGCCCAGGATCCCACGGAAATGGGATGTCATTCCATCAATTTTCTTACGGAATACCTTCTCTCAAAATGATGGAAGGGGATGTCATTCCTTCGACGCAGGAAAATCTCACCCTTTCCATTTCCACAATCCTATTGCCTCCCCACCTCCAGCCAAACGCACTCCACACCTTACATACAGTAACGAGGGAGAGCAAGGGAGCAAGAAACCCTGCTTCTATATTTATATGTAATGGAGAGTGGCCTAATCACACATCAAATTTGTGATTCCCCCCTTCTCATGTCAAGAGACCTTCAAATATGAAGCCAAATATAAGGTGAAATACAAAGGGAAAAATGGATGACACTACACATCCCTCTCAAACAAATGATATTAGATGCATCCATTTGGAGTAATTTCAGCCAGTTATCAGATTTGTACAGATCCAATCCAGATTCCTGGGAAGCTCTAGGAAGGAACTCTTCGCTAAATCATCTGCTCAAGGGCTTGCGGTAGATTTAACACAATCTCTGCATATGCTGACATGTGGGAGCACCAAACACAGAATATCAGTACAACAAAAGCTGCCTCCAAAAATCACCTTTTAAGACTTTTAAGGAACTCAGGGAATATAACAAACATGCATGATTAAATATTTAGGATCCAAATTCATTACACTAGAATGACTTCCATCCCTTTATGACATGATTATAGGCCCAAGAACTAGTTGGCGAAAATCACAAATAATTTAGGTTTTAGAATTAATCAAAGTAATATGTTCTTCACCTTCTGGTAAACTCATGGTTCGTAAGGCATCTTCTGCATAAGCCAGGCGGATCGGAGCAAGGTAACTGCCCAAGAGTGCTGCATCAGTCGTAGTTTTCTTGGACTGGTGCATCGGCCATCCTAACACACTAACCCTTGTAGGAAGTACCGAAATGAGATCTGCGTATCTAAGACTGACTGTCACCTTGCTGCACAAAGAAACAAATTCTTTAGCACAGTTTTCTTCTTTTTTGGGTCCAACTTCTCAGTTTACACGATTAATGGAAAAGTATCGAAGCAAATGTAAAGATTTGCATGAGTTTCATTGATTTGAAAAAAACTTATATCCGTGTACTGAGAGAAGTATTCTAATAAGCCTCAGAAAAGAAAGGAATCCAGGTTGCCTATATTAGAACCATACAAGATGTGTATGAAGGGGCAACAACTAGCATAAGGACATCGAGCGGTGAAACAAGAGACTTTTCTATAAAAATTGAATTATATTAGTGATCATCTTTAAGTCCTTATTTGTTTGACCTAATTCTAGATGTTTTGATTGAGCATATTCAAGAGGAAACCCAAATGCATGCTTATTACGGATGATATAATTTTTATTGTGGAAACAAGAAAAGGGACTAATTGCAAATTTGATTTATGAAGGAGGACCTTAGTCAAAGAGTTTGCATCTGAGTAAAAGTAAAAGGAAATATTTGCATTATATTTTGATAAGAGGTCAATCAAAGTAATTTGAAAGTGAGATTGAGAGATCAGATTATACCTAAAGTGGAAAAGTTCTAATATTTGGGAGTTATTATTCAATATGATGGAAAAATTAATAGGTATGTTGCACATAAAATATAAGGTAAGTGGTTTAAATGAAGAAAGGCTTAAGGAGTAACTTGTGATCAAAGATACCTAATAAATTTAAAGAAATGTTTTATTCAATTGTTATAAAACTATGTTATATGATAATGAATGTTATGTTTTAAAAGGACAGCAAGAACATAAAATTGAAATAGCAAATATGAGAATGTTGAGCTGAATGTGCAGGCATTTGCAAAAAAATAAAATCCAAAATGAGTACATACAAGAAAAAGTAAATGTAGCATCTATTAAGGTGAAAATGATAGAAAATCATTTGAGATGTTTGCACATATACAAAAAAGACCGTGGGAGGCACCGGTGAGAAAAATGAAATGAATAATCTCAAGCCCTGTAAAGAAAGGTAAAAAACTTATCAAAGAAAACACTTATGAAAGTTGTTGAATGAGACTTTCTTAACTAACAATATTCCTAAAAGCTTGGTTGATAATAGAATATGATGGCATCGTACAACCTATGTAGCCGATTTTACCTAATAGGATAAAGCTTGTTGTTGTTGTTGTTGTTGTTGTTGTTTCATATTCTCATTCAACCATGAGTAGTTGGACAAAGAGTTAAACTGGTTAGAGAAATAATAACCATGAATCTGAAGAAAGAGAGATGAGCAAAGCATCAGACATGACAACATACGGACCAGTCAAAATCATCCAGCACGAATTCAACCATGTGGTAAGGAAGGCTATGATACAACTCTCCAATTTGATTTCCATAAAGTTCCTTTATGAGTCGTACCTGCATGGTTTGTTGAAAAAGGAAAAAAAAAAAAAGGACAATCATATACCATTAATATCAGTTATTTAGACATCCCACAATTAAAAATCTCGTGCATGGTTCCACAAATGAATCCCAGAAAATATGGATCCATCTTCTATTTTTATTTGGCTCTTTTTGTTTCAGCTTTTTCCTTATTTTGTTTCTCTTTTTTACACCATTATTGATTAGGTAGATTTGCATTCATGACCGGCTGATTGTATGGGATTTGGGTTCTCTCCTTCCAATATATATAATATATTTATGTATTATTCTGTGCGTGTGTGTTTCTTTTTTATTTTCTAGACACCAACATCTGTTTCTCTTGAATGGAAGCAGATCAGTAGAAGTCAGCAAGTTCTGATGCCTTTTTTTTTAAAAAAAAAAACTTTTCATATTTAGGTCATTCATTCCTTTCCACTTGCATTTCCAATTCTGAAAAATGTAAGTTGTGCTCCATATCACATAGAAATATCATGCAGACCAGATGCTAATGTTTCAGAAATATCAAACTGAACAGCTACATTCATGGACAGTCTACCTGTTCCCGTCTATCCACATACGCCTGCAAAAGATCTCCAACATGATCTATGAATTTCTGAAAGAAAATTATGAGGAAAAATACTTAGCAAAAAAGTTTAAAATAAACCCAGCAAAGATGATGCATGAAAATGACATTACCATTGCATTCAATGAAAGTAACCCTTTTTCTGCTTCACGCAACGGCAGAAAAAATGGAATAGTGTGTTCAAGGACGGTCATCTTTTCAAGAAATGACTTGCTCTCCAGCACACAATGGTACACTTCACATGGTTCTCCTGCAACAAATGAACAGATAATATCATCAGCAAATGACAAAGATACAAGGGGATGGAAGGACAAGGGAGTTAGGGAGATTATGACTTAAATAACACGACAGTTTTGCCCCTTGCCAGGTGGAGTAAATAAGTTAGTCAAGAATTTAAATTTACCAGCAAAAGATGTCTGATATTGTATACATATCCTTGCTCCTTCCAAACCGCAAATTACCTGTTTCCAAAAACTAAAGGATATTACGTACTTCTGACACTAATTATAAGTACAGAAATAAAATCATTAGTGAGAATGAGTACATACCAACAATTTGCCCCGAGTTAAAAGGTGAAATTGGCACTCCTATTTCCTAAATAATTATTTGTCGATATCAATATCAGGGGGAAAACTAGCATCCAATCTACGCAAAGACAACTCTTCTCAATCTTATCAATGTCAATTTCAGAAGGCCGTCGATCATTTTAGTTTTATATCTATTGAACCTTGAGCAGGCAGCTGCAGAAGGTAGCATCTGTTGTATCACAGCTCAACATCCACAATTATACAACAGAAAATCAAAGCACCTTTTTTTTGTGTTTCCAACGTGGGGGTTTAGTGGATGAGTTCATACAGTTGATCAAACACAAGCTTCCACATCTGTAAGCTGTAGCTAATCCTATTTCTATTCTATCAATGAGAACAAAGTCCAATCGTTGGGGAAAATCTTAACTATTAACTAATACGACTCCTTCATCAAACACAGCTATTGCACTAAACAAGGAAAATTATATAATAGAGAATGGTAAGCAAAGATTTTAAACCCCATCCATGTCAACAACTAAACTTCTAGCCCTCCTCATCTGCTTATCTCTCTAGGTTATTTTGTAGATTTTATTGCAATTAAAATCTCAATTACCAGCAAAGCATCACTCTCTCCTCTTAACATAAGATTAGCTTATTAGTCATTTATAAGGTACATTGTTCTAATCAAGCATCATCATTTATATATTGATCACCTTGTTTCCAATTTTATAAGTGATTTTTTCCTGAGGGCATGGCGATATGTTAGTATTCCCTGGCATTGCCTTTCTTTCAGCCTCCATATGCACCTGACAGAAACATCATATACCTAAATGTCAAGCTTTATCATGTCCAACGTGAACTGTGCAAGTCAAATAACAATGGACAATATTGAGCTCAAATCAAGTGAAAAATAAGGTTACAACAAAACAACCAGGTCATACTTGTTCTCTCAATGTAGCTAATAGACCATCATTCCACTGCTCTCCATCTAAACATACCTCTACAGCTAAAAATAAATAAATAATTAATAATTAATAACAATACTAATAAGAATATTCAAAGCAGAAGAATAACATGCCATTGGTAAAGAAACATAAAGTGATCACACAAAACAAGTGAATAAAACAAAACTAGAGAGCGCTTTAGATGTTACATGATTTTATCTCATCAGATAAATAAGACAACTAATGATAGAGACAACAAACCTTTGGAGTACAGAATGAGGCTATAGACAGAACTCAAATGTCATGGTGGAATAATCCGAAGAAAATTAAAGGATCAAAATGAGACAATGACCAAACTGACTGCTGTTCATTACAGCTATAAAGCTTCTTATCCTGTCTGGATAATCTGCCTCTTACCAATCCTGGCAGAATTAAATTTCCTCTGATTGAAGGTCGTCAAAATTTAGCATTGTGTAATTTCAACAATCTTATAGTATGCTTATGAACCGTGGATTTGGTTTGTCATTGAAATCATAATCAATATGACATAAATAAACATACGCACACTTCCTGCTGAGCTAGAATATGCAAGAAAGAGAAGGGGGGGTTGAATTCAGGCAGCACTAGATACTGTCCACTATAGAAGAATCTAAACAACACTGGACTTAAAGCTACCTCCAGTTTGGGAAGCCTGTGCAACTTCAAAATCTATCTGCAGATGCTCAAATATTGTCTTGTCAGAATCCCTGTGAATGCAGCACACATCCAAAAGTGTCTATTACTACTGCATGAACAACCAATGAACATTCTGGAGCTATACCTGAAATAAACACATTAAGCCTAATGCACTAGATACTCATCAAGAAAACGAGAAGAAAATCAGCAGAAAAATGTTCACAACACATAAATGCATTTGCAGAGAAAATGAAAACAAAAGAACAGAAGAGATCCCTGATGGTGTTCTTGTTCTACATAAACTATCGTGTCATCACCAGTCCAGTTACAACAAACAGCTCCCATCAGCTTAACTGAACTTCCTCTAGGCCCTAATTTCTTAATGTAGATGCAACCAATTTTTCACCATGGGGACATCCTCTATTAAGTAATTCAACATAAGAGCCTAATCTACAAAAATGGGGGTCAGCAAAGAAAGTAGAACAACCTGCTCCCCAGAAATGTGAAGGAGCCCAATATGACAATGGATTTTTTGTTTTCACTTGTATATGAGGTTGTTATAAAAAAAATTGATAGATTTGGTTTCAGGAATCATTATCATCTCTGGTTTTTGGTCAAGATTTTTTTTTTTTTTGAGGGGGGGAATGTATGGGTAAATCTTTTCATCTTTCTTGTTATTGAAATTTTAAACAAGGTGAAATGGGATAACTCTATTGGTAATTACAAAAATATTCTCACAATAGGGTGTGAATTATATATGGTAATCTCATCCACTCCAAATATCTACAATTCAACACAGTGTCAGTGGAGAACTTCTATTAGAGATGGTATGCCATGGTTCCAATTCCAATTTTTGTCTCTTCAATCTTCTGGATAAAACAGCACCATGAGAATCAGGGCAGTTATTACCATTTTTCCCAAGATAGCCACACCAAGCATCAACAACAACAACAACAAATTTTATCCCACTAATTGGGGTTGACTATATGGATTATACGACGCTATTGTACTCTATCATTTATTAAGCTTTTAGAAATATTGTCAATTAAGAGGTTTCAATCAATAACTTCCAAAAGTGTTCTCTTTGGCCTTCCTCTATCCTTCTTGACAGGGTTCAAAATTATCTGTTCCACTATCCTCATAGGTACCTTCCATGGTCTTCTTCGTAGATGTCCAAACTATCTCAAACAATTTTTTATTATTTTTCCTTCAACAGATACAACACCCACTTTTCCCGTATGTGCTCGTTTCGGATTTTGTCCATACATGGATGCCCACACATTCATCTTAGTATTCCCATCTTTGCTACTTTAACTTTATGCTCTTATTGTCTCATTAAATCCCAACATTCATTACCACAAGTTAAAACATTGTTGTCAACACCTGTCCCCAACATTATGTACGCTGTAGTAATTCAAGGAACAAAAACTGAAACTCTCATACAGTTCTGTCTCTATGTAAAAAAATCAGCAGTTCTGATAGGTGCAATGATGACTCTTATATCATAAACTGAATTAAAAAAAATGAAACCTTTGGCTACTTTATACCTAGAAAGACGTTCTGTCAAGTCTCCATGCCTTTTTAGCAAACTCGCAACTGTCATGGAAGGAACAACAAAAATCTTCTGAGTCTGTTGGATAAAGAAAGCAGTGCTGATGGAGAATAGAGACTTACACCTAGTTCTTGTAGTCTCCAATTGAATATCACCATCTTGCATAAAATTCTGATAAATATCATAACCCAATTAGTATTTTGAAAATACTAATAAGGAGATAAAGTAAATGGAAGGAAATTTCAACATCTTTTATTGATTAAATTCAAGATACCGAATCCTGTAGTATCAAGCACGCAACAACAACAAGGAGTATCAAGATCGTTTGCCAAATAAAATTAAAAGAAAAAAGGAACTACGATCCATGTTACCACTTTCAGATAAACCCCTATTTATTTTATCCATAAGGTTCCCAAATCACCACAAGGTTTCAATCAATCAATTAAACCAGACCTGTAAGGTGCATAGGTTCTGTTCCCTAGATCAAGCAAATCCACAAAAAGCAAAATTAAACCTTTTCATCTTAATACATTTCATTTCATTTCTTTTCTGCTTTTCGGTTTGAATTAGAACAATGGGAGTCAAAAACCATATAAAAACCATCTTCTGTTCAAAAATGACTAACAAGCTGACATGTTGATAATTGGTTTTACTTTTATGATGATGTTGGGTGTCAGGATTGAGTTGTTGCACTCACCTATTCATCTAGAGAATTTTTATCCGTTTCGTTTTAAAATCAAACTCATGAGTATTAAACTGTGAGAATGGAGCAGGGCAAGCTGCTTTATCTACATTTTTCTTATTCACAATTAAACAAGCCTATATCATCAACAATAAGGACCTTTGTATGAAATCAAAAGAAATAAAAAAAATTCCTTTCACACAATCATCCAAATCAGCACTTATGGAAGTGGATCATTATTACTTCTCCCATAATTGAGTAAGGCCGCCCAGCAAGTTGTTCAAATTGCTGCATGATTCCACATGTTTGAAATATCAGTTCATGGAGGGCAAAATAATATTAATTAAAGAGAAAACAAGCATGGTCAAAGGACTGAAAAGGGCAAGCGATTGATTCAAGCAACTACATAAAATAAGAGAGGCAAGAGGGAGCGGGTTTATGAATTTGCATAGGAGGCCAAGCAATATTACAAGCAACACAAGCACTAAAACCAAAACTGACATCATAGTTTGCTAGGTAGCTAAAATCTCTAAAATTAGAATAAAGAAGTTGAAGCACTTGCTTGTTTCCCTTCGCCAGCTGAAGAAATAAGTAAAAAAAAAAAAAATCAATGAAATGACAATTCCATAAGCAATAGATGGGTAGAAGTTCTCCGAGAGAAAATGTAGTCAAACATCCTTTTCTTTTCTCAATTATTTCGGTTATTATCCAGAAGTTTCAACTATTGCATCAAGCATCATCCTACACGAGCATTGTGTTTAAATTGCCGAGGAAACTCTGAGCTTTACATCAACAAACAATACAGCTAATTTGGACAAATTCGTGCTGATAGTTGCATTTTATCAGTACGCACAAGTAAGCGATGAAATCCCCTTCAGTAAATCAATCCCATAACCAATTTCATTGAATTGGAATTATCGTCGCATAATATCTTTCACTTCGGCAGAAGCATTTCATAAATCAAATATTGCATGATAGTAAAACGTGAGAACGTCAATGCGGGGCCAACGCATAAAAATAAAAGAGTTAATCTTTAACAAGATAGGCCTTGCTTTGGCCAAAAAGAAAAAACACGATGGACCTTGCGAGATGAGTCGCCGGAAAAGAGGTATTTTTTGGGTCTCTTTCTCAGGGATTCTTCAATGTCGCCCTCCATCCCTCTGCATTTTCAGTGACGGCAATGAGGAGGGCGGAAAAAGAAAACCGTAAAGAAAATATTATCATTTTTTATATTTGAATAGATAAAAGAAAATGAATAAACAACCTAACAATTATAATAATTAGTTGTTAATGATAGAGTAATCCAGTAGTCTCTTATTCAGGCCAAAAAAACATCACGTAGTCTCTTTTAACTAACTATAGTTAGTTAAGTAACTATCCTCAGTTATATAACCGCTGCTCCCGCGACTCCGTGTACAATCTGTACTCTTTACAGCCAGTATCATATCAGAATTGTCCAAAAAACAAATATATATCATATCAGGACATTCATCCACTGTATCTCTTTCTGCACTTTCCCTTCGGTTAAAAATATATTTTCATATTATTATATTGAATAATTTAATAAAAATATGTTAATTTTACGTTTAAAAAATAGAAACGAAACGCATCAACCTCAATGTTGTACAGTCATTCTTTTCGTACAGCATGTGAATCTCTTTTTTTAAAAAAAAATTAAAATAGTCAATAAATATTAAATAAAAATAAAGGAAACAAGCTGCGAGTAAAATGCTTGACTGTTAATACACAAGTAACTGAGGAAAAGAAGGATAAATACCCCCTCCATTTTTTATTATTAAAAAAATATCACTTTTAGCTCATATTTTTTTATAAATAAAATAACTTATTTTAATAAGTATTTATTGTATATTTATTAAATCACCCTTTTTATATTAATTAATACAGAATATTTTAGTTTTTTTTATTTTTAGATATAATTATTATGAATAAATTGAATATCTTAAATTGTGTAATATAATTTATTTATATTTATAAAAATAAAAGGAATAGTTCCATATGTCGTGAGCGTCCTGACAAAGACTGAAGCTGGATCCAAGTTAAAGCTGAAGAGCGCAGCATATGAACCTCAACAAGACTCGTGACCTCTGTTTGTGGCAACCTCGAAGAAAGCACTCAACGATAGCGGGAATGATTTGACAGGACAGTGTTCTAAAGGTTTGGTTTAGTTTGAGAGGAGGGAATGAAGGAAAAAAGTTTTAATGGTGGAAAAAGATGATACCTCATTTGATCCAAGAAGGAGGGGGAGGCAAAATAAATATATTAAGACAAACTATACCCTTGTAAAAGTAACATTGTTTATCCCAATAAAATATAATTATAAATATTTTTAATATATAATTATAAGTATATAATTATTCATAATTTATATATATATTGTCAATAATTTATTCAAAGCTTATAAACTAAATGGATGGGCAAGTAGTAAGTTTATTAACATAAAATAAAAAAAATAACAAAACACACCAAAAAAAAGAAGAATATCAAAAACAAAATAAAAGGAGGGGAACAAAAATTACCGTGCAAGTTAGGAAAAAGAGCACAACTTGAGTAGAGAGATATATGATAGCAAAAAAAAAACATTTTTAAATTATCATATTATAATAAAGGTATATTAATTCAATATAATAAAATTTTACCTCTTCCCTCTTCATCCATCAATTTTGAAGGGGACGATTTGGAGAGGAGGGCTCCCCTCCATTTTCATAAACCAAGCAATGGGAGGGGACCTCCTCCTGTCTTCCCTAAATTAAATATACTCTAATACAATAGTTGTGAAAAGTGTCTATTGAGTGAAGTGGAAAAACAAATACAAGGAAAGAAGGAGGAGTTAGATAGTATAATAAAAATGTACTCTAAAAATCTCTTCTTTTTTAGAGAGAAATTTTGAAGAGCAAATATGAGGGATTTCATACTCTATTTTTTTCACTCTACTTTTATTTTTTTCCATTTTTCTTTTATTATCCAAACAAAAAAAACTATTTTTTTATCATGTTTTGTCCCTATGTATTTTTCTCTCATATTTTATTTCCATCTAAATAAAGCATAAAGTTGAGTTGAAATAAAGTATTAAAAAACTTTTTAAAGTGAAATAAAGTTTAGTTGTAAAAAAAAGAGAATAATAATAAAGTGCTTTGAAAATATGTAAATTAAGTATCACAAAATATGATAATTATTATTTAATCGAATTTGTTTGATATTTTAATTTTTTATAAAATCGCATATCTACCCTCAATGATTATTATAAGAAATTATTACTTTAGTTGTATCATCGATTAAAATATAGAAAATCATTGGGAGTCTCAACCAATGAACGTTGCGGGAGGAAGGAGAGTTCCCTCTAAAGGTTTACGGCAGTTATTGCTGCTTCCTGGTGATTCCTCTGTTTTTCCTTTGGTTTTTCTCATTCTTTTTCTCTTGGTGTCCTCTTTCATAGTTGCTTCTTCTTGTTTTTCTTTTCCTTATGTGTTTTTTTGGTTCTTTGTTCAAATGTTTCTCCCTAGGGATTGTTCCTCTCATGTTTCTTTCTGTTGGTGTCACTATCTTGTCTTTAAGCTTTTAGATTCCTGTTTGTTATATACTTCCAAGATTCAAGCCTTATTTAATGTTTACTGGCATCTTCATGGCTCAATTAAAGTTGTCCAAGGATTCTGGCCCCTTTTATGTCTTCCATTTTGGTGCTGCTTTTGATCTTAGTTTTGTTTTAGATAAAGGTGTTTGGTTACTACAAGGCTTTTCTCTTGCTGTGTTTCCTTAGGATGAATCTTTCTTCTTCTCTAACCCCTTTCCTTCTTTCTCAGTTTGGTGTCGTGTCTTTGGTCTTCCCCTTAGTTATTATTCCGAGTCAGTTGCTTCTTTCATAGGCAACAAAAGCAGTTCTTATTTCTTTGGATGAATCTTGTCTTTTCTCTAATGTCGGTCTCCATTTTAAAGTTTCAATCTCTTGTCTTTCTACCCTTCCTCCTTGTTCGATGATTTTTTTCCCATGATGGTCATCCTTTCCGAGTTTCTTTCTTCGAGAATATCAGTGGAGTTTGCTCTCGGTGCACCGTCTTGCATGATGTCTTCTCTACTGGGCCGAAATGATATCCGGGTCACTTTCTCGGGTCATTTTGAGTCAATAAAGGTCATTTGTTTGGGCCAGACCGAGTTAATGGCAAGGGGCACTGTTGGTATGATGACTTCTTCAAAGCTTATTTCTGCTAATCATTCGCAAGAGTCATCATATTCTGATCAATTTGATTCATCACACATGCAACGTGTCACTTCGCATGCATATACTTCGTTGTCCGATCATGGTCTTGCCACACCTTAATTGTCCCCTAATTAGACAATACATTTTGAGAAGAGACTTAAGCAGAATCACAGGCTTCTCTTTGCATTTAATTGTCCCCGTACTTTCTGGTGCCGTTACTACGACTGTTTGCCTCAATCTCACTTTGTGGGTTACTTTTGTGAGGACGTTTCAGCTTATTCTCTTACGCTAGGGTTATTATTCACATTCAGATTCGGTGACTCAGGTCAACGCTACTCCTGCATGGATGAAGTTTTTTCACTTTCCTTGGAAAATGTAACACTCATGGTTAGGTTTCAACGACAATGGTGGAGTCGCAGTTTCAGACTCTCTTGCTTTTAACAGTCTTGCCTCCAACAGGTTTGAAGTACCTGGTTCCTTACCTTCAGCAACGGACACAGGCACCACTAGTAACCCTAGAAGACGCTCAGCTGACCAGAGGGACAACACCTACCTTTGAGATACCTCAGACTTAGGTTCTGATATGGGTTTTGCGAGCTTGTCTGCCAAAAAAGCTTGCTTGGCAGCACCATGATCAAGTAAGTTTTTAATGGCTGTGAAATAGGTAGTGTCACAGTCTTCTCCTTTGATTCAAGCTACTCTCTTGCTCTGTTGTTTCTCTCGATTTTAGGTTACATCTTCACGGCCCTCAGAGTTCTTTTCATCTGAAGCCACTCCTCGGGAAGCTGTTGATTCCTTTGGGAAGTCGAAAGTTAATTGGTGTTGATTGGCTTCACAGCCAATTTGAGAACCACTTGTTCTCTTCTCAGTACCTCGTTGGTGCATTTTCTCTTGGAGATGGTGCTTTAAATTTGTTCCTGCGATGGCTGCAGATGATGCTCATGGATCTCCCTTATTTTAGCAGCTACGTGATTCTGCATGTGGGTTGTTCTTTTCATGGAGCAATTCTTCGAGGCCTTTTTTTATTTATTATGTTGTTCATGTTGTTGCTTTCAGCTGTGCCCATTTGTGTTTTTTTATGGCTCTGTGTGTGTACGGGCTTCTAACTTTTTTTTTAATAAACTGTTTGTTTTTCTAAAAAAAATAGAAAATCATCATTTCTTTCATGCTAATTTGTGATTCATAAATGAATTAGAAAATGACTACTCCTCCTTTAAAAATGAACTATTTTATTTTTAAAAATTATCATTTTTGTTACGCTTATTAATAAACAAATTTGCCAAAAAAGGCCGTCGTTTTAAATTAAATTTTGGCCCATAATCTAAACAAAGTAATTATATATTTAATTTCATCAGAAATAAAAATGTCAACCATGTTCTCACGGGCTAAATAATAATTAGTATATTTTGTTTATTTAATTGACATTTACATTTTCATATGTATTTTTTATTTTCCTAAAAAATAAATTGAATTAACAGAAAATACTAGCATGGCAGTGATAAGGATAACAAACAAGTGTTCATCATTCCATCAAGGTTTGTTTTTTCTTTTGGGCGGAAATCTCATCGCAACTAAACATTTAATGTTTGAAAAATCATAAATAATTCCCCGTCAAGGTGTTTAAAATATTAGAAATAGAAATTATAATACTTTATAATAAATGAGAGTTATATCTCAAAATAATTAATCAATGATAATTAAATTCTCAATAGTTTTGTTTAAAAAATGAGTTGTGGGTATCAAGTTCTTAAATATGATTCAAAATGAATCTTATACTATCATTGATAAGAAATTTCTCTACAAAAAAAAAGTATGATAGAAATTTCAAAAGAGATGAAAGAATCCCCAACCTATAATAAACAAAAGAGGGTTTATTCAGTTATATAGTTTAGGCTTATAGAATATGATATTTTTGGAACCTTCTATTTGATTCTATTGAAAGGCCCAATAAATTATGATCTTTTTATTGGGCTAATCTATTATGAGCAGACAAAATATTTTATGATAAAAATGATACTTCAAGACTTGAGAATAATTCAGAGTTCTTAAAGGGTGAAATCATGTAATGCCATACATGAGACATGTCTTTCAAAGAATATGACATTTTTTTAGATAAGTTGCTTCATTAAAACTTAAAAGCACGTAAAGTTACATACAACCATGTGAAAAATAGGTTGTACTAGTTAAAATGTAAATAATTTGACTCTATATAAAGCATGGTTACATGATACAAGGATCTCTACTTCATTAAATTCATGCGTTGTGATAGGAAATGATAAAAAAATATGACTGTGCATAATATCATGTATTTTTTTGATATCAGATAACAGGTTACATATAAGGATGTAACAAATTGTTACGTGATATTTATATCATTAAAAAGTAAATTGTTAATATTTTAATGAAATATTATTAGGATGTGACTTTTTGACTCAAGTCCTGTCTCCTATAAAAAACAATCTTCACTTGAACATTGATAGTTTCATTTGATATAATGGAGTTATTACTTGTAGTAATGTCATATGAGATGGTAAGGAAAATTGAATTAAGGGATTCTCAAAATATTATGACTATCAACCCAGCATTATGACTGAACTCTTGGACATCTTAAGAAGGCTTCATCTTTGTTGGAATGAGTGTTTCACTAAAATCAATATCATTTTGGTTCTATAAAAGCTTTTCCACTCTTTCAACATAATTTCTCCAATAATCACATTCTTTCATAAACTATCAAGAAAATAAGAGATTTTGCCATGAAGGACTTGACCATCACCTTTGATTACATGTCTAAAAAAGCTAATAGATACGCTAACATGCCTACTCATCAAGCTTGTTGATAAAATTCAAATCTTGTTATTCTTAATCATCGCCTATAAAATGCATATCTCTCATGAAATCTGACATGATCTAATTATTTGCATCTCTCTCTCACAAAATCTTTGTGAACTTGCATTCAAGAAAAAAAATATCCTTCTTTACCACTCTTTTGCCTTCATTCTATCTGTTTTTGTTTTTGTTGGTTTATGCGGATCTTAACCTAATTTAACTTCATACATGGAGGTGTCTATGGTTGACCCAATGTTATACAAAGTCCAAGTGATAAAGCTTACATTTTTACATTAGCCCAGATATTCTGTTTAATTAATTGAATTCATTTTTGTGACCAATATTTCATGATCATTTTATGCACAACAACCATAATCATCATAATTTCACATACACTTGTAATGCTTATACATTTAACTATTTATTTATTTAAATAAACTAGTTTAAACTTTAAATTTTAAATTTCATGCATTGTACATATTTGAAAATGCATTGAACTATTCTTGACACATAAACAACATGATTTGTTATTGTATGTAGTTACATAATATTAAGATATCATCATCAAAGCCAGTTTTTGACACAATTTCAATCTCGTGTTAGTTATAACCTTTAGATCATGAATGTTTACATGGCAACCCCCCTCCCAACAAAAATCACTTGTCATTGTCAAGAGAGGATTTATGAAACAAAAACTTGGGAAACCATGTGCATTTGCAAAGAACATACCTAGAAACAATTAATATGAACTATGAAGATAACATTATAATTTTCTAGATGAGGAGAAAAATAATAGGGATTGAAAATGACAATAAAATCTTTTTAAATATCCAAATAATAAATAAATATTGTGAAATGCAATAATTATTTTCCAATCCCCAAGGACTTGTTTGTCATATTAGTTTTTTAGAAATGATATATTTGCCCCTCTCTCAACTCTTGTTCCCACTTGTCCCCTCCATTGCCATTCACCCGTTCTTCATCTAATGTAATTGGGGAAGGAATAATGGTTGTCACAACTCGAGCTCATCATTCCCAATCACTTTTGAAGTTTGATTTTACTTGATTTGGTGAAGGACCCCGTTGTATTGTCCACCAATATCACCTACGATCATGTGAGTATCGAAATGTGGTTCCTTGATGGCAATTTCACTTACTATGTTACTAATCAAGTTCTTGCACATAATGATTCAGGATTGGTGCGTTGAGAATTGATGATACGAAATCGAGAGGATCCCCACCCTTGTAATTCCTAATTTCACAATAGAAGCTGCAGGGCTTCTTCATGTGAAATCATTTACAAGATGTTTGGATTGATACAAGCATTTCGAATTGGTCTAAAAAATAAGATGGGGTGAAGAGAGCAAGAGAAATAAGAAATGTATAATTAATAAAGGAGCTACGTGTGCTCTATCATTTTCTTTTTGACTATTTTGTAAATGATTTCATTGAAAAGAATCTAAATGTTTTGGAATAAATTATATCTACTATAAATTGGATGATCTCGCTTTAAATGGAAGCCCACAAATTGGTGGGGCCTCAAGCTTTGTCACTTTGCATGATCTAGTTTTTGAAGTATTAAGATCTTGCAAGGAAAGAAAAGTCATTGTTTTTTTTAGGGGGCTTCTCTCTTTTGAAAATGAAGAATGTTTGAGTGTTCTGGTAAAAATTAAAGGGTCAATAAATTGTTGGTTGAATTTATCACCAAAACATTAAGTCCAACCATCACAAAAGCTTCATTAGTTGGAATTTCTACTTGATCTCATCATCATCTTCCTCCACTAAAGATGAAATAGAAACAAGATGTTATTTTCTATTTAAGGGAGAGCAAATATGTTATTTTTCAAAAAGTCAAACTACCAAGCAAGCCCCTAAGGATTGAAAACTAATTATTACTTTTTGCTGACCTATTTATCATTTGGATATTTTGCAAGTAGTTTTTATCATTCTTCCAAAATAATATTTCAAAACAAGTCAATAGAAATATATAATTTAATACCTGCTCAATAAAGAATTAAAATCTTTTAAAAACAAGATGTTGATTTTTTTTTTGGATAAAATAAGACATTGATATTAATAAAATTATGACTGACAACTAAGAGAGTTGGTCTAATAAAAGAAATTAATAATTTTTAACATAACAAACTAATATTAAATATTCATTAAAAAAGATGCTTGCATTTAACTATCGTTGATCCGGTTTCTCATAGCCTAAACCATGTTGACGTCCATTCTCTGTCTAAAATTAGATGTAAAAAGTTTTATTATTCATACTCTAAAATTATTGGTTTTCTTGGAAGAATGAATTAGTTCACGCTGATCGTTCCTTTCCACAACTTGTCACTCGTCCAAATAAATTCCGGCTTATGTATATAAAAACTGTAGAAAACAAAACAGCTTTCAAATAATAAGATCGCCCACTAAATATAGGACGAAGACAACCTATAAGTAGAAACCCATTAGGACTGGGAATTAGAAAGAAAAAAAGAAAAGAAAAGAAAACGTGTAAATTAGGGGAAAATAGATAAACTATAATGTTAATAAAAATTTCACCAATTAATTATTAATTTTTAATTTAATAGCGGAACGGGAAGACCAGGAGAGGGACGCCGAGAACGACGAGTGCGAAAGAGAAACCAAAAAGAAGAAACAAAGAAGGACAGTACTAGGATTAGCCTTCAGCAGCGATCGTGCTTACACAAAGCCAAGCTCTCAATACAAATCATCAACCCAATAATCCTTCACCAAAAAAGGAAATTATCAAATTTTGTGAAGGAAAACATTTAGATACACTGCGAGCCAAAGCCGAAGCTTCCAAGATTCGAACCCAGTGAGTGAGTTTCGATTTCCATGCAATTCTTCAACTCCAAGGTCAGAGTTCGATCAATGTATAAGCCCCTGTTTTCCCGCCACACACTTGCAAGCTTTAGTCCTTGCTTTTCAATGTCCTATGTTTCGTTGCAATTTGCAATTTTCGTTTTTGGTTTCGCTCCCTATTAAACTCAATTTTTTTTTCCAGCTCACTGATCTCCTTTCCTGAACTTCAAATTTTGGAATTTGAAGTTCAAAGCTTTTAAATTTCGTGAAACAATGAGGGTTTAAATCGCTGCAGCGATTCAATGCCCGTTTTGTGATGTTCGAGAGAAGCAAGGTGTTTCCAACCCTGGTTTGGTGATTCAAACTTAAGGTTTTGATTTGCCGCACAATTCAATTAATTAAGTTTGATTTGCGGAATATCTGGCCTGTACTCAGCTAGTTCCGTCTCGGCCCCATCTCTAGGGTTTTGGTTCCGGCTGTGCAAGATTTGATTTTGCATTGTATGGTGTTTTTGCGGGCGAATTTTGGGATTATTTCGAGAAAACAGTTATTCGGTCCAGTTCGAAGTTCCTCCTGATTTACTGTTGTTAGGACGATCATACATCTGGCCATTCCGTTATGCAGAGCTATGTGTAATTGATATGTTTTAAATCATATGGGGGATGGGAACTGGAGGTTTCTTTGGAAACATAAATAACTGGAATCTGACTCAAATTGGGTTTACAGGTGGGTGGGTTATATTGTGATTTTGTTGGCGGTGTATGAATCTGTTTGTTGAGAAATGCAACCCCGGCAGAGCTCAAGAATTGATTTGGCTGAAGTAAAGGCACAAATGATAAAGAAGGTTGGAGTTGACAAGTTTAAACGTTACTTTTACTACATGGAAAGGTTTATCAGCCACAAACTGAGCAAGCCTGAATTTGACAATCTTTGCAGTCGGATACTTGGGAGGGAGAATGTTCCGTTGCACAATCACCTTTTCAGATCAATGCTGAGGAATGCATGCCAAGCCAAGACCCCACCGCCAATCCAACCATCTGCCCCCCCAAGGTTTGGATCACATGTTACCAGCATATCTCCTGGTAGAGAAGATGGGCATGAATCAAATGGCGTCACTTTACAGAATCACAATCAAAATGCACCTATTTGGTCAAATGGGGTTTTACCAGTATCGCCACGTAAGATGAGGACTGGAATACGTGAGAGGAAGCATAGAGATAGACCAAGCCCTCTTGGACCAAATGGGAAGGTTGATTCTGTTTCTCATCAATCACTAGGTACAGAAGACAGTGGTAGTAAGGGTGATATGGAGAACAGGACTCCCACTCCATGTGATTATCAAAGACCAGTACAACTTCAAGCTGTTGCTGAGTTACCTGAAGATGAAAGTGGAGATGCTGTTCAGCAACCTGCTAATAAAACATTAACACATGGAAAAGGCATGGCTGAAGCTTTAATTGAAGATGGGGAAGAAGTGGAGCAGTCAAACTACTTACCTAGGAGACCCCTATTAGCTCCACTAGGGATTCCATATTGCCCAGCAAGTGTGGGTGGGGCCCGCAAAGCCTTACCAGTGGCCAGTACTGGTGATTATGTTAGTTGTTATGATAGTGGTAGGTTGTCTGACACTGATACCTTGAGAAGGCGCATGGAGCAGATTGCTGCAGTACAGGGTCTTGGGGGTGTCTCTATGGAATGTGCCCATATGTTGAATAGTATGTTGGATGTTTACCTGAAGCGATTGATCACATCCTGTGTTAATTTAGTGGGGGCTAGGTCTACTAATGAGCTGAGGAAGCTCTCTGTTCAAAAACAGCAGATTCAGGGCAAGGTAATCAATGGTATGTGGTCAAGTAATCATTTACACGCACAGAGTGTGGGTGGAGCATCAGAAGTTGTTCCTGAACACATGATGCCACTATCACACTCGGTATCTCTGCTTGATTTAAGATCTGCGATGGAGCTGAATCCAAGGCAACTTGGAGAAGATTTTCCATTGCTATTGGAGAAGATTTCTATGCATGGATTTGATGAATAGCTCTTTTATGAAGACTTGTCCAAGCAAAGGCTGGTCTGATTTTTCTGGTTCTTTTGGCTTGGCCGTGGCTGGCAATCATCAGTGCACTCAATAAGTTCTCATTGCCAAGACGAACCATTTGACCCCCTAAATTATAAAACCTAACTCTTCCAGGGTGATACACTGGTAGTTGAGCTGCAGAATGTCTTGTACCTGCCATTTGCAGGCCTGGATAGATCAACATCTATTTAACTGCAGCCACGTGTACAATCAAATTAAATGCCGGGGACTGGTTTCTCTGTTGTATCTTTAGCATTGGAGTTGGCTGTATTTGTGATCAGTAGAGATTTCAAGCTTGTTGTCCACTTTACAGCCAATGAGAAGGAAAACTAAGAAAGTTTTGCAGAGATACTGTTGTGTTGCTGGGACAAGGTACAATCACATGTACAAGAGTTACAGGATCGCTCTGCATGTATTTTAGAATCAGAAGATTGATTGCAATTGAATATCAATAACAAATTAACATCTATTGAAATCGTCTTTGATGCTTTCTTTTAACCACATGATGCTTGATTTTGCTGATACTTGAAGTAGTGTTTTGTCTTTGAGTATTCACTTGCAGATGTCGGGGGAAGCAGATGTACAACCCTATGTCTTGCTTTAAATGCAAATCATGTTGATGACAATAAATATTTTTTTATTCAATGCTAAGATATTAACACACTGACACAACATTAAATTAGCATGCAAAGTTAGTTTTTGTAAGTTTAGATTTGGACATGTCCATTTGGGGTTTCATTAGATTTAGATTAGACAAAGTCAATATCATGTTGATTTCCTCAATGTCGTCATTAAAATTATGAACTGTATTGATGCTGTCATCTAAAACTCTACTTATGAGTAATGACATGAATTTTTTTGGCAAAGGTAATGTATTGAAATTGTAGCTGCAGATTGGGATGTGGTAATTATGTGTAATCAGGATTAAGTACATTTTGGGAAACTTCTGGAATTACAAGCAAAGTAAGCCTAAAGTCTGTGAAAACCAACAAGACAATTTCAAGGGACAAGATGCATTTATATTTAATTTATTTTTTCCCCTATTGAGTGGCTATTTATTTACCTTGACATATCTAAACCATGCTGGGGTTAATGTATGGAAAGTGCAGTGATACTTCGAAAAATAGTGCTGATAATCTGGTTAACTAGTCAGTAATTATGGAAATTTAGTTATAGTTATGGAATTTATGCGCAAATGACCTTGTTGTATATTGTTTATGAATGCATTAGAGGCCTGAAAAAAGTTTCATTCCTGTTGAATTCTATAATCTTATTAAACATGTTGAGCGTTAACATTTTTTATTTGTTGCTGGGAGTCTCTGCAAACTCATCATTATGCAACTGGTTGTGATATTCTTTTAGACAGGATTTCCATGTCTGCTTTGAATTTGTAAATGCAATTTTAGCATTTGCCTTGATATTCTGCTATGGTCATGACTCCCAACAAATGTTAGCAACTAACACTACATAGGGTAGAGATAATTTTATAGACTTGTAAAAAGTGTGCAGATTTGCAACCATACAGAGATAAAATCTTTTTATGTTTTTAGCTGTGCCATGCAAAAGGCTTTGAATTAAACTTGTTATACTTGTATGAGATGAAGATTCAAAATGATTCACATCAAATCAGCTGGAAGTCAGAAAATTGTATTCATCACTAAACTGTGGCAGCACAAATGCTTTAGGTTTTTGTCATCATCAAATAGCATTAAATCTTTTTCTAGTTGCCTTCTCTTGTATCAAGTAATATTTGCTGGTGGTGAATTTTTAACTGATATTTTTTTATTCTTGCATGAATTATAATTGTTGATGTTCAATTTTAACAGTGTTCTCCTGCACTGAAGTACGTATTACGGAATGAGTGACTAATTTCATATTTCAATTGTGATTATTTTGTTTTACCAGAGTAATTAAGAATAGTACTTGATCTTCTTCTTCTATAGGAAAAAGAGAAGCTTCACTGTTATCCAGCTTGGTGAACGGAATTATGATGTTAAGAGCTGCTATATCCGATGCATTCAGGAACATTGTGGATGCTCATTAGTTCTGCATTAAGAGGAGCATGCTAATGACCATGCAATTGAGGTTTTCTTGTTTGTTGAAATTTCACATTCCACATGATTTGTTGCTGAGTAATTTGGCTTTTATTGTCCTTCCTTGGCTTTTGTAGGGTTTTTTCTTTTTATCCATGGCCAAGAATCACCCACCTCTTTGTTTGGTTCAAATCAGTGTTGTAAATTCCTCATTAATGTATATTAATGTCTTGAATAAATCCATTTCTGTTATCTAAAATATTGAAGTTAAAGTTTGTTTGTTATGCTTGACATGATTTCCAATATTCATTTCTTGGTGCCCCCCCCCAGGGGGGGGTATGGCTTCTGATGGTATTCTTATAATAACTGGACTGTGGGGCTGTGCATTATGCGGACTCAGAGGCAAGTCGTACTATTACACTGATGCTTTATATAGATTTTATATTACATATAGAATATAGATTGTTTCAGAGAAAATCACATTAATGCAGTGAAGACTGGAGAAAATTACTTATTATAACTCTTTCATAAACCATTGCATGGACATCAGTTCTGGCAATTCTCTTTCTGAAGTTTCAGAAATATGCAACTAGATGCTTGCGTCCACATATTACCCCCGGTTGTTGACAGGCATCGACCCAAAGTTCATGGTTATTAACAAAAGATGGACAGAAACTGCTATTCGCAGAACTCACATCCAAGCAGATAACTGCTAAAGCAGTTCAGCTGACAAGGCCCGTGGCTGAAGCAGGTAATATGCAATTTGATTGCTCACTTATTTGGTGCTTATTTTGAATATATGGATATCTGAATAGATGATTGGGGAATGCTGGCAAAGTTGAAAAATCACCCTGTTCAGCAGCAGATGATTGCCACTTGGGCTCATATTGATTGCCATGTAGGTCCTTAGTAATTCATTGCACTGCCAGAATCATAAGAAGTTAAAAGTGATTAGATTCAGAGGTGGGGAAGAAACAAAGAAGAACAAGGATCTGATAATGCTTTCCTTGCTTTCTCCTCGATCCCATTGTTGTGAATTTTTTGATTATGCATATCTGTAGCAACATGGAGAAACCTCAAATAGAAGTGGGAAATGGATAATATTTCTTAATATGTTAGGGCTGCTTATTATATTTAGAATCTTAAGTCCCTTTTTGAATCATGAATGATTCAATCGAACTTATTTACAAGGAGAAATCATGTCTCTGCTCTAATTTGGTGCAAGATTATGGTTTTCTTAATTTTCCAAGTGTGATAAAAGATGAATTCATCTGTACCTGAATTTCCAGATTCACTGCTAATGGTCTGCAGTGAGAGAGCTCCACTCTGGTTGCTCTGTTCGACTTACCGAGTTCTTTTTCACCTCGCTATTCAATCATAGAATATTGAATAGTGATAGCAGGCCCTTCTTAGTATATAAAAGGCGCAAAAGCGCACAAGCCCAAATCCAAAGATGGATTCTGTTGATAAGGAAGTTATACATGTTGAATAACTTCTATCCTCTGCTTGTCTACTTTACATAGTTGCAGTTTAAGATTCCTATCCTAATATGCTGAGTGGTCAATTAATTAGGAGATTAGTTTATTTTGCTGTCACTTAACTGTAGGATTGCAGTTGCATGCTATATAATCTTTGTAAAACTCTTTTATGATGATATGAATATTTCATTTTCTACTTATTGGAGATTCTCCCCCCTTTGGTCTTATCTAAATTGTATGAAATTCTCATTCTTTAGGTACAGATTGAATTTTATTTCTATTAAACCTTTAGTTCCAACAAATAGTCTGCAGTTTGGGCTATTGTTTTGAGGCTTTTTCAGGTTGGCTGTTGGCATGGCGATTGCCTTGGTGAAGAGTAACAGCAACGCGAGGTGAGAGCATATGGTGAGTTAGTAGGTAGTTAAAAAAACAAAGTGAAGACCTTGGGTTAGATGGTGTTTGTGTGCGTATACTTGTATCCTATAAATGAATTCAAGTATCCATCTGAGAATAAATTTGTTGAGATCAGGGGCTAATATAATCGCTTATTGACATTTAATGTGGTACATAAGTGACTTGTCCAACAAGGGTTTGTTATATACAGTTTCTTAGTTATTTCCAGAATCTCCATGGGCAAGGAAGCTGCAGCACAAAGAATGTTTGGCTGGCCGCGTCAGATGTTAATGGAATCATATCATGATCACGTTGATCAGATGTTTCTTTTTAGATCAGTTTTCATGTAGTTTAAAGGTTTCAATCTTGTGTTGCACAAGATTTCAGCTGTCTATTCCATTTATTTCAAGAGAGTGAATGGCATGTATATAAAATAGACCGTTGATATCTTAGACAGGGCACGTGGTGTAATTTGAGATAAAATATAATTAAAGTTTAATTTAAGATATTTGGAATATTTGAATAAGAGTTTTATCCATTAAAATTAGGATTTATTATTTATTTTATTGTTATCCAGTGTCTTTAGGATTATATTTAAATTTAGGATTTGAAATTTGAAATTAAATTATTATTTTATTATTTTCATAACTTTATAAATAGAGCTATGTTTTTTATTTATTTTTAGTTTTTAAATATTATTAAATAAGTGAGGACTTGCTCTGCCCAGCTCGGATCTCTCACTACCTGAAATCCGTATCTTATATAATAGAATATGGATCTGGGCATTTCCCCTTAAGATCCGGCGCCCGAAGAAGTAAAGTGATCGGAGAAGCTGCTGGTGGGAAATCTCTATTCATCACACCCCTCACCCGAGCCTCCTGGAAAGACCCTTGATCTCCAATCTGCGGATGAGGGGATTTCCCTGACTTTTTTGACTTTTATGGTTTTGAGAAAAACTTGTCTTCACCGTTTTTAAGAGTTTCATCTTCCACCTTCCTTTCACTCTCTTCCCCCTCTATTTCTTTCTCGATTTAGTGCTAGAGTTAAGTTTTCATCACACTTTTATTGTCAATTTCATTTAAAAGTATAACTTTTTTATTAAAATTTAAGGTCCAAACAAGGGATAATGAACTCACTTTTAGATGATACTGGAGTATTTTTATCACCTTTTACAAGTTTGCTTGTCATTAGATCTTGGAGATTTGTAATTTTTTTATATGTTTGTGACATTTTGAGTAATTTTTTATTTTTATTTATTTGAGTTTTTGTTTTAAAAAAATAGAGAGAAAAATAAAAAAAAGGGAAAAGGAAAAAGAAAGAAGTATAGAAAGAAAGAGAAAAAAAATTGTTATGATGCTTAATTGTTAATATAAGCTATAGTGTACACACAAATTTAGATTTTCAATGTGAATATACAAATATATCACAATATGCTCAATAATAAAAGGATTATACTCAATAGTACATATGCAATAAATATCAATAATAATATGCTTATCCGTTAAAAGGTACTTATTTGCGAGAAAGTTATTAATATAGTTATGAAGAGTAACAATATGGGCACACAAGTAGATGTATTGTGATAATTATGAGCATTGCTATATTCAATCGGAGTATGCTAATCATAAGTGATATGAGTATGAAGACCAATACTGACATGAGTACTTTCAGGAGGACATAGACTACATTATAGTTAAATTTTATCACTTTCAGTATATAGAATTGTTATTTTGACAAGCTTAGAAGGGATTGTAGTAAAGTTAAGAAAGCAATATATGAGATTAAGAAGATAGTCGATGAATTGAAGAACAAGTATCAAGCGATCCAACGGTGATAAAAGCTTCTTCTTTACCAATAGAAGATTCTCCAAACAATGATCAAGCAGTCCATTATACACTAGTATAAGTGGCTCTTTCTCAAATTGTTCTTGGCAAAGATCAATCTCATCATGCTACAGTTATTCCTTATTTGCAAGCTACATCTCCCAAAGTCACTTCATTGTTTAATGGTCAAATCTAGCAATACCTTATTTATTAGAAAGGTTTTCTAAAGATTCTGAATAGTTAAACTACTCACTCTTATTAGAGCTTGTTCTTTTGCTACCTAACTTGTTGGAAAAGATTTCCAAATGCTCGCCTATATCAAGTTGTTTGCTCTTACTAGAGTTTGCTTTTTCAATATCTTACCTGTTGGAAAGGGTTTCTAGATTTGAGCACTCTGCTAAAATTTATCCCTCCCTTTCCTTCTTGGACTTGTGCCTTAATTTTAACTCGTCAGGAGTCGAGTTTTTCAGTAAGGGAAAAATGATATAATATGGGGTGAAATATAATTAATGTTTAATTTGGGATATTATGGTTATCTGTTAGAGATGTTTGAATAATGATTTTATCTATTATGATCAAGATTTATTATTTATTTTATTGTTATCTTATATATCAATATCTTTATGATTATATTTATATTTAGAATTTGAGATTTAAATTTAAATTATTATTTTATTATTTTTAGAGTTTTATAAATAAAGTTATGTTTTTATTTATATTCAACTTTTAAATATTATTAAATAAGAATTTTAACCTTTCTTTTCCTTTTTTTCTCTCTTCCCCCTCTTCCTATTTCTCATTTTACATCAACATGAATACAATTCCTTGGACCCACGGCAAGGTGGTATTGCTGAGTCAAGTAGGACTATTCTCTTCATTCTTTTATTGAAGCAAGTATGGGAATGAGTGTCCACTGAATTGAGTTGTAACGAGGCATTAGGATTTTTCACATGGTACAAAATATTATATTTATTTATGTTTGGTATACTAAATGATGATAGGATTTTGCTTGTTAGGAATATATTTCTAGTTAGATGTTAATGTAATTTACTACGTTCATTTTGAATGCGCCGTTTTGTGGTTACATAAATATTTTTAAAATTAATTATCATAACTTGCAAAAGAAAAGGAGAGAACGACAATTAAGGACTTATTAATAAGATTAATGTCAAATCAAAATTTTTAAGGATTTCTAGTGTTAAAACATAAGAGAAAAGTATTGAATTTGAGAATTTTAAGTGTGAAGAGACTTTAATCTGACATTAATTTTGAAAAAGTACTAAATTTAAGAATTTTAATCACGATATCTTAATTTGATATTAATTTTTTACGAAATCCTCGCTTAAAATGGTACCGTGGCTTCCTTTTTGGATTTGTTCCCGATAGCTTGGAATTTTCTGTCAGATCTCTTTTCGTTTCTTTTTCATTTTCTTTTCAACATTTCATTTTCTGTCAAAATTTTCCTTTTTGAGAGTTTCTTCAAGCTGTCAAGTTAATGGGAAGCACTCAATTTAACTTTTCAAAATCATACTCCACCAGTCTTCTTTTTACAAGAATTTTTTTAATTTTTTAATTCTTTTTACAAGAGACTTTACATGTTTTTAAAAGCATTAGTCGCCCCCTTTCCCTAAATACTCTTGCGGAGAAAAAAGGCTACACTAATTTTAAAAACTCTATTAGAAAAAAGAGTAATTTAAAAAAAGATTGAAAATACGTAACATATTTAACATTAGGAAAACTAATTTTAACTAGTCTTCCTAATGGTGAAAGATATTAAACGTCTTTTATATATAAATAAATAAATAAAAAGATAAGTGAGGACCGCCTTAAAAAACTTGCAGGCCACAATGACAATCTTGGAAAATGACAGTAAGGGTTAATTCTACATTGTCTTCAGTTTCACTCCTCAATACGTGAGAAGGCAGAGAACTAAAAACGACTCTGATTTACCCATTACATTACCGTAGAATTAAAGCAACTAAAATGAAAGTGAATTTTAAAAGTAATGAATCCATCAACAGCTTAACAAGAAGTTCCAGAGTCTGAAGCCCGGAGGCTTGTTTTATTACTTGATGAATAACGGGGACAGAAGGTATTGGCTATTTACACGTAAGACGTGACCAAAAAGAAGAGATAAGAAGTAAAATCATTTTGTACAGAAAGGAGAAGGAAATATGAAACAATGGAATGAATTCATTCAAGGCGTTGAACTTGAAGAAAATGAATGTGATGGTGCCGCAGACGCTTTGCAAATAGGACACCAATTCTTCAGGCGCAGCCATTGCTGTATGCACCCCACATGATATCTATGCTCGCATTGCAGACTTCCCACTTCCTCTGCTTCCACATATTCCTCCTGCAAATTCAGTAGTAAATACATCTTCACTTCTTGTTCTACAATTAATCCATGGTGAATATGATGAGGCAGTCCAACATAGCCTTATTTACATACAAGCTGGAGGCTTGCTTTTATTAAGATTGATTCCAACTCGACTCTCGGTTAAATCCATGTTTTTTAATGGATCAGATGAAGTCAAGATGCATATTCCAATTTGGCTGGCCGAATCCAAGGTAGCGGGACATCAGTTTTGCAAAATTAAATACATACATTTGAAAAAAATGAAATATGTTCCTATTCCTCACTGGAACTCCTAACATTAAAACTAAATTATCTCTCTGTTTTTTTTTTTTTTTTTGGGGGGGGGGGGCAAGTATAAGGATTTTGATCAACTGTAATTCATTGGTTCATAGCCTTTGAAGTATGAGAGTGTTTAATGGCATCCACTTATATCTAATAGGCAAGATGAGTATAACCCATGAAAAAGGCTTCAGTGACTGTGAAGAGAAAGTACCTGGCAGATGCTGCATTTGGTGTCATCCCTATCCGCAACGCAGCTCTCGGCTGCATCATCTGAAGGGGCAAGTTCATAGAAAGCTCTCTTTAGGCACTCTGAGAGTGCTTCCTCCGTTAGAGCTGTGCTTACAGAACCCATCCTCTCTTCCAAAGCCAATAGTTCCTGTAATTTGCATGGAAAATATTGGTGCAAATAGCCAAAAATAAAAGAAAACTAAAATTTTGAATCGCTTCTCAGAGCCATCCCCCACATAATCATGGCTAAATTTCAATCTTCTCTATGGATAAAAAGAGGGCATCATTCTACCAACGAACAACACTTAACAGTTAAATTATATCCCTCAATCCAGCTTTCTTCTTATTCTTCTTGTTTTTTTTTTATTTTGGGCCATCACATGCCTGTTCAAAGAATATTTTCATTCACATGGGGTATAAGGCATAAACAACAAAACACCCCCCTTGGGGTGAGGTCGAAAGGGAAGTAGATTCAGTAACAAACCTCGTATGACATGTTATCAATATCCAATCGCATGTCTCTATGTTGATCATAGAAGTTTAGTCCATTAAGGAACAAGTTGGTCTCCAGTAAAAGAATTTGCTGCAAAGACACAACGTTAAGCGTCAGTAACAGGTTAATTTAAGTCTAGTCAATGTGAAGAATTACCTCATGCGTAAGATCTTCATCTTGTTCAATCCTCTCCAGGGCCAATAATACCTATACACATTCATCAATTGGCGTCCCTGTTGTAAGCTCTCATTTAAGAGCATGATTTAAAAAAAGAAATTATATATTCCCATACTTCACATGGAAATTTACCTCTGCAATACCATCCATGTTGTAGCGCCGAAAGCTGTCCCGGTTTATGAGAGAATTTGTTATCCCATATTCTGAAGGAGATGAGGGCAAAACACCAAATAACCGCTCACTGCTACTACTTGGTCTATTATAAGATCTTGGACTTCTGAGGGGAGTGTCCAACGAGGTATGATGTAATAAATCAGGAGCATTAAGGTCACTGGAATGAGGCAAAGATGATATAGTGATAGGAGATTGATTGGGTAGCGCAGGGTTTTCATTTGCTTGGCTAGAAAGCCTTCCCCTAGCATGACCACTGAATGATCTCCTAGTTCTAACTAATGCAACGTTGCTGTTATCCCTGTGAGGAGGAAAGTTTCTTGATCTTCTTGAATCAGATATAGATATACCATTTCTGGAGCCAGAACTTTGTCCTTCCAATGAAGATCCACTCATCTTCTTACCTCTAGCAGCAGAACTACTTTCTCCTTCACAATTTCTCTTTTTCATCACATCTCTCCTCCTATGCGGGGTTGAATCTGATGATGAACAACCTGAAGGGATGACATCAGATATAGAATTGCATCTGAGGTTCCTCAATCCATACCTACTGACTCCAGTGCGCGTTGCTGAGCCAGAGCTTTTGAATTCTTGACTACTAAGTCCAGGCTTTTGACGAAGATTCCTCCTATTTGTTGTGTTTGATGCTACATTAGAGCTTCCTACTTCCATTGATACGACATTAGTGGACTCTGAACTTGCCACTTCAGCTTGAGGCCCTCTGCGAATTTTTTCAGGTGGTGAGATGATCTCGGAAATTTCTGGTCCATCCTGTAAACTACTCGTTTCACATGGGACAGTCTCTGACTGAGAAGAAAATGTTTTCTGGGGCTCTGTAAGGGACTTTCCCAGGTTGCAAGATCCTGGTAATGCTCTAGAAGAACTTCCAATTGCCTCCTTGCGACTCGAAGGTCGGATTGATGGCCTTGAAGATTTACCTTTTTCAGATGAACCAATTTGAGCACCCTTAGAAGAATTCACTCTGCTGCTGCAACCAGGTCGGCTGCAAAACTGACCATTACGGTCCCTAGCATTAGCACTATCTCTAAGCACATGAGCCATCCCCTTTTTAGGTACTACCACCCCATCTACGGCTCGTTTACCAGAATAATCATCCATCTATTGTTTATTCAATTTAAATCTGCAAAATATTGACATGAAGTATTAAAATTCAAAAGCTCGTACGGAAATCAACCATATCAGTGCAGAGGACAAAACTTCAGTGTACTCATAAAGATGGAAATGGAAACAGCAGCAATGGTAAGCATCATCCCTAACCATGAACATTGTCAGTTTTCAAATTAATTTCTTATATTTCAACGTAAACCCAGAAACTATCCCCAACTCTACGTGTAATATAACCATTTATTTCTTTTTTAATTATTCTAGAGATATACTCAATCACGATGGCAGCTCAAGCGATTATCCAAAATATTCCGAGGTTGGAATCTCTTACCAAAGAGCTTCTACAGAAAGACGACGCGGATTGATTTCATCAAATTAATGTTAAATTTATACACCTTAATATCATTGTTTACATCATATGCCAGGTGGATATAATTTACTTGAGATTTTAGTACTCCCCAAGGACAGTATATTCAGGCAGAATAAACTTTAGGCCCAGAAGAACATAAAGGGAGAATAAACCAATACGTGATGAATGTGAAAAACACTATGATCAATTCAATACCAATCAGGAACACCCATGAACAAAGCTATGAGATGAGCGAGTTCAAGAAGGCAATCTGCCATAGACTCCTCAATAAGAAAGAAGAATAACGAAGATTTGGAGAGTTCATCATTCATGGAATCATCAGATGTAAATAATAGAGCAGGAGGACGCTAATATTATTTGATGTTGCTTCTTATTACTATAATATAATAACAAAGTGGAATAAAGGAGAAGGAAGGGGACTCCTGATAGCCACATGCTCATATTTCATCCAAAATAAGAGGGTCGCCGCGTTTTTTAAGGAGGCTTCACTTCAATTTTTCTCCACACAATCAAGCTCTACACAAGACCTCCTCCGCGATTTCAGAGCTTCCATAAGCTGAAACTACTCACCCAGAGAAACTAATAAAAAGGGGATCAACCCATCAGAATTCTAGCTCTTCCATATCCCCAAGCAATAAAAGTGGGGAATTAAATAAAAAAAAAATCAAAGCCAGAGTCAATCGAATTGGTATAAAAAAAATAACACTGAACACACACACACACACACACACATATTAGATATAAAAGAGACGAGGCCCGGGGAACCGATATCCAATTAACCAATCATTTGGTGGATTGAAAAGAAGAAATTGATTAAAGGGGATTGAACCAAGATGGAAAATCAACAGAGCATGGTGGGTACCTTTGTGTGAGGGAGAAAGCGAAAAGAGAGTTCTGAGACTTGGGAGTTTAGAATCCTGCAGGCTTGAGGGAAAGAAATGAATGAGTCGCTGCTTTTTAGAGAGAGAAGCAAGAACATGAAGGAGGGGGGGTGGAAGATCCTGTGGTCCAATCCAAATGAACAGTTTGTATGGTGAATATAAAAGTGCTTGGGGACGCTGAATCGAAACGAAAAGAAAAAAAACAGAAATAGTAGAAGAGGCGTCGTAGTTGAAAAAGGTCGTTGAAGGAAGAACCAAACCATTGTCGGCCGTTGGATTCAAACTCTAAACGGAAACCCCATTTCCGTCCGTCGATATGCTTTTTCCCCAACCTCACACTCCATTCTCCACCTGCTCTTCGCTGCCTAATCCACCCTTTTCCATTTTTTCTCCACTTCCTTCCTTTAAAATTAACAATTTTTTAAAATAAAAAAATTGTGAACATTCAATGTTTAATCTTATTTATGCTTATTTCTAGAAATAAATGGACGATTAAAATATAAAATCACAAAATTCAAAAGTGGTAGACTTATCACCTTTGAAGCTCAAATCCTATACAATGGCAACTAGTTGAGTTGATTCTTCATTTAAAAAACTTGTTATAAAGATCCTCATACCTATGGGCTGACATGCTTGAAAGCAATTTTTTTATTCAATCAACAAGTTTATCGATAGTTCTGATCATCTTTATAGTTTGGGTCATATTACCATTTTTGCTTATAAGAAAAACTTGGATTCTCTACAAGAAAAAGTTGATCGCTTCGCCTAAAATATTCTTTCAATGCTTGATTACATTAATTCGATTTTGATTGAGAAACAACAATTACAATAGCCTATTGATCCTTTTTATTTATAGCTGTCCTTTTTTTTTTTTAATTGCAAGACCATTTTTTATGCCATTTAGCTAATATATTCATTTGGCATATACTTTCTAAGTATGGCATTTTTTTTCACATAATATAAAAATTTGAGTCAGTTGAATCGATGTATCATTAAATTAGTGTTTTAATGAATTTGGCACATTTTTAACCACTAACAAACTCTTGAATTAATATTTTAATTGATTGAATAACCAGTTCAATTTTAAAATACTTTGTTTGTTGTGTTGATAAAATATAATGACTTAATATTCAAATTTTTATTAGAAGAAGTATTTATTTTAATATTTAATTATGTCTTGAATATAATTATTTTAAATAAAAACTCACAATCAAATAAAACAAGACAAGAAACTACCTCCACTTTCCTTGATAGCGCCCACTTTTAAAGGTGAAATGGAGAAGAGTTGTTCAACATGTGTGATTAATATTATTGAGAAACAAGAAAACGCATTTTGTTCTGCCAAGTCAAGAAAGGCATCATAAATTGGTGAAACAAATTTTTAAAAAAAAAAGAAGGGAAAAAAACATCACGAATAATGACGAATTAATAATCGGCAATTGGTAAATTTCAATGTGACGGTGACGTGATCATCATACATGTTTCACGAGTTTTCTGTATGGTTCATCTCTCTATTCGAGATCAGCCTATACGTTATTTTCACCACACGACAATCTACGCGTACCAACAGTGACAACAAATGTAAGTTGTAACGTAAATTAACAAGACGCGGGAACACATATAATTACCTTGACATAATATTCCATTCACTGTTTTGATTTGTGCATCTTTACTAATAGATTTTTACAGGTCAACATATCATATAACCAACCCAACATTTTATATGCTTTGGTTAGAGAAAGAATTTGGATATCCTCTCTTAACAGAGAAACAAATAAATATTAATGCGAGGTGTAATGTTATTTCATATATATATATATATATATATGAAATAGCTTTGCCCCCCCCCCTTTTTTTAGTTGAGGAGTTCTTCTTGCATAGGCAAATTTATCATTAGCATGTCAAGTAAAAAAATATTTGAATTTTGGAGAGAGAGATGAGAAAGTCAATCAATAATAAATTATGGTAATTTATAAATAAATTTTAAAAGTGGAAAAGTATGGAAGCCAAGTGGACAACTGCCAAACCCATTTCCTTGCCTTTGCTGATGCAAAGCTTTTTATTTTTAAACATAGGGATAAGCCCAACGTCCATCTCTCTTTTGTTGCATTTAAATATTTAATTAATCTATTTAAAAGTTTTCCACTGTATTCACCTGTGTTTTGAACTTTATTCTCTCTCCTTACTTTACCTGAGCCAATCTTTTTTTTTTTAAGTGCCTTTTCTCTACAACTATACAAAATAGTAGACATAATATATGTTGACAAAAAATTGGTCAGCTGAGCTAGCGAAGATAGATTCTGATTTAATCCATTATACATATAATACCATGAGTTCAAATCTTGTTCTAGATAAGAAAACCTTAGTAATAAGTTTTATAAATACCTTTTGAATTCAAATACAAACCGAACTTTTGTGACACGAATTACTAATAAGATTATGTTTATTTAAAAAAAAAAGCTGGTTAAGTGGAGTAAGAGATAATGATGAAAAAAAAAAATCAAAGGAGACGATGGATTAGGGAAAGGAAAGTGGGGGCCACACTCTTGGATGTAATATCTTATTTTTTAGTGAATAGATTAATGCACAATCTTCGCTGCCTTCGCCTCTGCTCATACCAGCTTTGGTTTACATACATGAATGTGCGTGTTATATTATGCAAATTAAAGGTCAACGAATTAATTTGACTTAAATTAAAAGAAAACAGAAATAAATTTAAATATGTAAGGTTTTTTTTTAATTAAAAAGAGGAAGACTGTGTTTGCCGACTATGTAGATTTTATTCTCACATGAGCAAATAAAAAGGTTTGGGGCGTGTTTCAAGAAATAAGCAAAAATCCACTCAATTTATGACCATCGATGTGAATTATTGTCAGAGAACTCCGAAATGCGCCATCTTTAATTAACAATATGATAAGGAATAAAATTTATTTAATCAGAATTGGAATACGTTGTTTTAATGACAACTAACGCACGGGAGTAGAATTAAAAAATTTAAAACAAATATCATCAAATGTATTGATATGATATATTTGAGATGGTTAAATTAGTAAAAGTTTTTTTATTCAATTATTTTTTTGAATACTTTATTTGTATAGATCTTGTTTTTATTTTTAGAGTTTATAGTGAAAAATCTGTTTAGAAAATACATGTTCTCATAATACTTTGAGAATATTAAAAAAAATTAAAATTCTCAATAATCCCTCATTTTTAATTACATAAAAAAATTAAGCATCAGTTTATGAATCATGAAATAAATTATATTTTCATAAATTGGATATAAAAACGAATACAAAGGGATCCCTCTTTTTTTTTTTAATTGTATTATATATTTTTATATTTTTTAGTTCCTATTATTCTTCTTCTTTCATGTGCAAAACAAAAGGGTTACCAAAAAGATACATCAACCACTCAAGTTTTGCCTGTTTAGAGTACTTAAATAGTCGTCATGTTATTTTGTCAGTACAAAATGTATGGTGAAACATCCTGAAAGGTCAAAATCATGAGATAAGAATTGACGATCCAAATCAAAGTTAATTTTTGTTTCTTTTTTTCTTTTTACAGACAATGTTTATGGATGATGGTTAATAAGAGTTGATTGATATTAAGTACAAAGAATAAAAAAAAATACATGAAAAATAAGAAAAGAAATTAAATCTCATTGATTAAAAAAATTAAAAGGCATCGGAAAGTACAACGAATGCATAAAAATAGTCAAATGGACTTAATACTAATGATCAAGAAAATTTAAAAATAAAACTGTTCTTGAATCAATGCTCTCATGAAAGTAGATTAAAAATACATGAAAAATAAAAAAATAAATTAAATCTCATTCATCAAGAAAATTGAAAAGGTATAAGAAAGTACAACGAATGAAAAATGTTAGTCGGATGGAATTAATGTTAACGATTAGATAAATTTAAAAAATAAGACTGCTCTTGAATCAATGCTCTTGTGAAAGCAGATTAAAAATATATGAAAAATAAGAAAATAAATTAAATTTGGTTAATAAATTAAGAGAAATTTTCATATTAACATTAGCCTAAAATCTATTAATCAATGAAAGTAATTTTTTTAAAATGAGAATTCTCTTTAATTAATGCTCTCATGAAATTAAATTAAAAATATATAAAAAAAATAAGAAAATAAATTAAATCTCATTAAATGCTTTTGTAAAAGTAGATTGAAAATATATAAAAAATAAGAAAGTAAATTAAATTTCAATAATGAATCAAGTGAAATTTTTATATTAATAATAATGTTAGTTTAAAATTATTAATCAATGAAAGTTAATTTTTTTTAACTAATCAGATTGAAGCTAGAAGATTTGTTTATATATATATATATATATTGATTATGATTTGATTAGATAGAATACGTTTTTAATGATGTGATAAAGAATGTTATACAGTACATAGACTTCCGAAGAAGAGATGCTCATCTACTAGCGCTTATAAATGGAAAATCACCATAAGATACCATACAAAGAATTTAAATGAAGTCCCATTTAATAAAAAAATTAATTTAAAATTATATGTTCATTACTGGAGTTATCAATGACTGTTGGATAATTAATAATAATAATTATTATTATTATTTAATTGTCAACTGAACAATTCCATTAATAATTATTCAACAATAACTGGTAATCTCAATAAAAATACGAAGCTTCAAAATAACTTTATAATTTCGATATTTAGGTTTTTTGTGTGAGATTTGAAAGTGTTTTCTCATTCATAAATTATCCAACTCGGTACTTGGTTTGCTTTTTGTTCCATGCTTTTTTTATTTTTATTTTTTACTTCCCTTCTACTCGAACCTACTCGATTATAATAAAAAATTGAGTGACATGTTGATTATAACGAAAATACTCAAGTTAAACAGCCAACTTGTGAGATGGTGAAGTTAGGAAGGCGCGTTATTTTTGGGAGATCCATGATTGAAAAAGAATTTACTACCACTCGTCTCCGTCCAACTTTGTAATAAATGCAATTTTTTAATACAAAATTTTTTTCCGGGTTCTTACTTATTGTTGAAATGATGATAAATACTAATAATAAAAGCTAGAGCGACCTTTCGCATGAGATACGACAACGAGCGAAAAGGGGAACAAGAAACAACGAAAATTGTGTGTTTGCAAGACCACACTCGGCGGCTTCGATGTTAAGCTCTTGGATCTTGGTCACATTTTTGTCACCACACAGACTCACATACGTTGATTCCAACGAAAAATATACGATTTTTTTTTTTTTGACAAATTTACAAATAGAAAGAGTCAACAATCCCATCCCATATGTGTCGGATTTTCATCGAGTGGTGCTGGATTAAACTGATGATGAAGGGGCTTCAGTTTCAACTTTCAAGGCCTTCAATAATCTGTGAGTTGTGCGTAATTTGCGCTTCTCTCATCGAATTATTAACCCCTTCACTAACCCCTTCTTCTGTTTCCTCTCTTCCAACCATTCTCTCTTTTTCTTTTTTCTTTGTTTTGTTTTTTTTCTTTTGTTTTTGGGTTTTCCTTTTCTTGTTTCTCTTCTTTGTTCTTGTTCTTCATCATATATTGTCCTCTCATAATTCAAAGCAAATTCATTTCCTCGTTCCCACAAGTTCGCTCTTCCATGAACTTTCTTTCATCAGGTATGTTATCTCAACTTTCACTGTCTTGCTTCTCTATAGTTTTGCTCTTCCTTTCTTTTCAAGATGTTTTTCTTTTGTTCTGTCTCATATATACAATTATACAAAGTTGTGAAAGACAATCATTGTGACTTCTTTACACCTTTGGATAAAAAAAAACCTAAAATCATAGAGGGGCATTATTATTAATATTATCACTATCATTACTTTAGGTTCTCGCTAGTACTCATGCGATGATTAGAATCTTTTAGCTTACATCAAGGCCTTTTCTTTTGCGGTAAGTTTTCTTTTTCTCTTTTGCAAGGTCCTCTTATTCATTATTCTGTGAACAGCCAGATGCTTTGAACATCTAAATTTGGGCCTTCAAGTGTCCCATAAATCCACTTTGCTTGCATTTTTAGGTTTTACATGTAGGATCTTTTTTAAATTCATCATTTATAGACCTTTCATTTAGATTTCTCACGTTTTATATTCATGTATCACAATCTGCAATCCGGGCAAACTCGTGCGAATTTGACCCTCCATCTTTTAACCCCAAAGGGAAAGGGAACAAAGAAAAGAAAAGAAAAGATTTGCTCAAAAAGAAACAAGAAAGAAAGAAAATAAAAGAGATTCCCTACGTTAGTCCAAAGATAACCTCTATCAATTTGTGCCCCTAATTTTTGCTGCTACTACAATTAGGTTGGGCTACAATTGCATGAAATATTTGCTCCCCAAAAGACTATATACAATTATTTTCTTATTTTTAAAGGGATAGAATTTGAACAAAATCAAACGCTTGGTTACTAAAACAAGGTTTTACATAAATGTTTTAGTAAAACTCCAGCACTGGGAATAATAACACTGCAGTTCCTAGCCTTTAATTTTTCTGAGAACGTGGTGCGAGCAGGTTGTTCTGAAGAAAAGTAATAGCAGAAACGAAGATATATGGCAACGGCAAGACCAAAAGAGAATAGTGCAGTTGGGAAGGAGAAGATCATCTCCTCAAACTCTCAAAGCACAAGCACAAAAAAGACCACAAAACCATGCGCTACAAGTGATAAGCCTGCCCCATCATCAGAAAAAGAAAAACAGATCCCAAACTATCTCAGGCCTACCATAAGCTCACGCCATGAGTCCCTCTCTTTGAAGAACAGTAAGATTGATTCTCCCCAGAGGACTGTTATAAACAGAAGAAGATCTTTGGACAAGCCTCCCTCACCTTCACACTTGACTAAACATAGCCAGTCCTCTTCAAGGCTACACAAAGCTCTTGTGTCTCCAGGTCCTAGGGAGAGATCAGGAGCACAGCTTCGACCTCTGTCTTTCTCATCCAGAGGCACCATTCCTTCGAAATCCGGTTCAGACAAGACCTCCAGAACAGCCAAAGATGGGAAACTGTCCGCCAGCACCAGGAGTGTAAGCAGGAGTAGTAAGAGCCCTAGTCCCACACCTAAGAAGGTAGCTCGTGATGGTTCTGCTGCTGCTAACTCAACCAAAGCTCCTAAGAATGATGCTGAAACTAAAGAGGAATTAAAAACTGTTGAAGCGGAAGTTAAAGAAGCTACAATTGAAAAGATTGAAGAAGTGGTGATGAAAGATGACAATGAGCAAGAAGAGAGTGAAAATGCAACTGACCAGATTAATCCACCAGTTGTTGACACTGGAAATGCGCATGAACATAAGAAAGAGCATAAGCAACATCGGGTGGTTGAGGAGTCTAAACCAGGCGAGCCTCAGATTCAAGCTGATAATAATAATGTAATTCCTACAGCATCAGAAGACGAAGAACAGCAGCAACAACAAGAAGCAGCAGTTAGTGTGGCAGAGGAAACAAAAGCGGCCGTTGAGGCAGAGGAAACTGAAAAGGAGGATCCACCGGAGGAGAAAGCTGAAGATGTACATCAAGAGGATGAGGGTAAGAAGGGCCCAGACGAAAGCATTGATCATCCAGAACCAGAAGAGCAAAAAGTTGATGTTGAAGAAAAGGAAGAGGAAAACGACAATGGGGTTGCAGAAGAAAAAGAGAGCCAGAATAACGAAGAGGAAAAGGCAAAGGACGAGAAGGAAGTAGCGGAAGGAGAAACAGAAGAAGGAGTTCAGTTGAAAGAAGGAGAGGATGATGATGATGTGGAGACGGAAGTGAAAGAGGAGAAGGCTGAATTAACACCACCAAAGCAACAAGGGGCAGGAGGGCAAGGGAAGGAGACGACTCAGGTATCAAATGACGTGATAGAAGAAACAGCAAGCAAATTGGAGAAGAGGACGAACAAGGTAAGAGCATTGGCTGGGGCATTTCAGACCGTCATTGACCATCAATCCAAATGAAACAGGCACGCTACATATTTCATGTGTAATATTTGAAAATTAAATAATCACGAAGTATGATGATTTTTTTTAGAACAAAGCATTCTTTATTCATATTTCGTGATCATTTCATTTTTCAGTATGAAGAAGTTATTACATAAGTTCTCATATATCCCTCCAGACCCAAAGTAGCAAGGTTGTCAACTTCATCATTTTTCCAAGCTACTTTGTAATTTGTAAATCATTTCATCAATATGTGATAACATTTCTCTGTATAATCTGCCACAGATGATCATATACTTAAACAAATCAACCAATATCACCTCTCTTTTATTGAGCTGTAAATGGACAAAGCTAATCGATGCCTGTTTATTTTGACACTAACTATTTTCTTTGTTGAGGAACTGGGCAAGTTATTGACTAAAGCTATGGTTGTGCATAGGCGAAGTCATTCAGGTAATAGTGTTACAAAGGTCTCGCTAGATTAGGCAATTTTAACTCGATGTATCATTTACTCCTGAAATCACCAAATTCTCAAAGACCTAGCTTCTAGACTTAAAGGAGAATCTGGAATCAGGAAAACGTAGCGTTAGTGAGTGCGTGCATGTAAATTGTGGATTTTTCACGAGTTGCCTCCCTAGTTTTTAAAAATGAACTTTAAGTTCACAAAATAAATGTATCTGAAAAGGAGGAGATATATCCCCACTACCCATTGTTGCCATCATCTGCTTTAATTAGTCCCAAGCAATTAATCCGAAATAATGACTGAAGGACCAAATTGAAACCAAAAGGGAGAAGACAAGAGCACTTAACAAGTTAAAGTATATACAACTTTCTAAATGATGCGACAGGGCATCACTAAATCTGCCAAAAATTGGTAAACTCGTGTCATGGGAGTTTGCAAGGCATCTAGTTAATTTTGAACTGCAAAAACAGAAGGATATATCTCTGGACCTAGGCACCTTGAGGGCAGCAATACTTTTTCACCATGCTGTATCGAGAATGCAGCACGCCCTCCAGTATCCTCCATAATCAGTTTAAGCATTTCTTGTAAGCATATGAAGCAGAAAACTTTAAAGGAGAGTCACGTTAAAAGTGGCTTATCAACAGTATATTAATTTTCATTCTCAACAGCATGCTTTGGCAGAGGGACGATAGACTAGGTAACAGGAAGAAGAGAAAAAAAGTAAAGGGAGGCAGAGGTAGCTTTCATATTTGGGAGCTTCAGAAGCAGAATCGGAGGGCAAAACCCCAAATATCCACTAGAGTCCATTTTATCACATTATCCAACTTTGATGGCTTTTGCAAGCCTACTTTCTATCCCTTCCTCCCCCCACCCTTCTTTCTCCTTCCCTTTCAACTCTCTAAAAAGAAAACTTTTATAGTGGCCACTCAATTTAGTTCCGATGGGCAAAACTGTGCATAACATCCTGAAACACCTAAGCATGGTATAGCACTATTATCTTCTAAAGATTGAAAGTTTTGGCCCTAGTGACTCAAATGCAGGTGTGATAAGCCTATACAATTGTTCTGATGTAAAAACTCCAACTGCCCTTGAGCTGTATGCAGTGCCATATGAACTGGTGTACTTTACAATGACAACCATTGGGTAGCCCTTGTCCAAAATCATATCAACAACATGACCAACTGACGTCGTAGTTGTAACAGTGGGAGGCGGGCTTCTCATCATTGTTGAAAGTGGAGCATTCGAGTCCAACTGCACGATGAATTCATTGAATAACCAAATAAATAAAGGTCTGGTGCAGAAATTGCCATCCTGTGAATAAAATAACCGAGTACCAATAGTAATGTTGTCTACATACTGTCTGTCCATACAACAATTGAAGAAAGTGGGAATATAAAATTACCTATTAAATAGTTATCACTGGTTATCATTTTCATACTAGTTATAGTATAATTTACTTGTTGGGTTATATGGCAATTTGGACCCTGAACTATAGGCTCAAGGACGATTTGAATTCTAAACTCGTGTTTAATACATTTTGAGCTTTAAACAATTAAACTTGGGGCTAAATCGTTAAATTGAAATAAACATCCGTTTTTCAAGTGGTGGGGCCCAGAGAGGTGGTATGGACTCTCTCTCTCTCTCTGATTCTGACTCTTTGCATTCCCACGTGGCTAAGATCATGGTGCTCAGTGTTGTGATCAAATCATCGAGACAGCGATCAATTTCCCATTTTAATGGTTCATGTGTGGCATAGTTCTGGAAGTGTTGCTTGTGAGCTACTTGTGATGGTCCTCATCTCCCCACAATTATGGTGCTTCATCATCAACTCTATAGAAGCTTAAGCTTTTTCAAGTGAAATTCTTTTAAAATCTTGAATTTAATTAATTTAACTCACGCTATTAGCAACACTTTTTGCCTTTGATTTGTGTTATGACGTCACATTGTGCCTTTTGGGTGTGCATATACATAGTGCTTTTTGCCCTAACCAAACTTTTTGGGTGATACGTCTTCATTTCAGCTAGAGAACAGCAACAACTGCAAATTGAGTAAAGAAATCGCCAAAAGAATGTAGCAGCTAAGGTATCTTTGAATGTTGGATTCTTCAACGTGAGAAAGATTAATTGAAAAATGAGTTTGAATGAATTGTGCATGTATGCTTGTAAATCAGTGTGTGCGCGTCTGTTGATGGCAGGTGCATGAAAGTTGAAGATCTTCGAGGACTCTCCATGTATGTAGAGAGAGAGAGAGACAGAGGAGGGAGGAAACATGCCACCTAGGAATGCAAAGAGCCAAAGAAAGGGGGGGGGAGAGAGAATCCATGTCACCTATCTAGGTCCTATCACTTGGGGAAAAAAAAAACGTCTTTTTATTTCAATTTAACAATAGGGACTAAATTACTCCAAATTTAACTGTTTAGGGTTTAAAATGTTACCAAATACAGGTTTAGATTTCAAATCGCCCTTAAGCCTATACCTCAAAGTCAAAATTGCCATTTAACCTCTCTCTCTTTTCTTTGGCCAGAAGTTATAGTATAATATAAAATGAAATTTTAAAGATGTCATTTCTTTGTCCATGCATGAATGGACCAGCTTCAATATTTATAAGATGTTCATGCATAGTGCAAAATTGAATGACATCAAAGACTTATAATAGTTGACAACAAAGTTCCAAGCTAAAACAGGAGTACCTGAGTGCAGTCTTCATGGTGCACCAACCCAATACAGCTGCCCCAATCATCTACTATTGGAATAACTGTGTCGGTAAAGAAACGCATAACCACTTCCTTCAATTGTACGGTGCCTTGTAGTGGTCCAGTTGCTTCAAATGGCAACATGAATCTCTCAACTGGTTCAGCAGGTGAAACCTAAAGCCAGAAAGTGCAACCATGCAACCAGAAAGGTTTCTAAGAATAAAATTTTAATCGAACTGTCAGTTAAAGGCCAAAACATTTGAAAAATAAGACATTTATAATTGATTTGCGTTCAAGTGTGAAAACCTTTAAAAGTGTCAAGTTTTAATAGGCATCAAGGAACTTTAGTAATCACACTCAGTTCTGCATACTTGTGCAAACAAGTACTCAAAGTCATCATTTAAAATGACTCACAATGCAACCTAGTTCAAAGGATGCTAAGAAACATACTGTAGGTACCTTAGGAAGTAGGTAAGGACTGAATATGGATTTTGAGAATCCCAATGTGGCCTCAATGCGCAAAGTCACCTAGATTAAAGAGCACAAGGTTGACAACATCAACTTCTATGGAGAGGCACCAAAAAAATAAAAAGAAGAGCATCAATGAAGCATCAGTTCAGTAAATTTTTTTACTTTTTCATGATATTTGACATTAAATTTTGAACAAAATTAGCCAAGGCAAACTATGGAGGGCAAAGCCAAAAAGTTGATCCACCAAACACTGGTTAAGAGCCAAAGCTGTGCCAAGGAGACTCCCCACGCATTCTTAAAATAGACCACCATACAAGTAAAAATCTACCCAAACAGCTTAGCATGATAAGAAATTGCATTTGCCATGCATGGAAGACCCTCCACAAATAGTGGCTAGTTTTTGAAACAAGGATAATCATGTTCAATAAAACTTGCATTACACACCAGGCCTCCACGACTTGTCCATGATATACCCCTCCACTTTGAAGCAATATTAATAAGAGTTTCAAGGGCAACATCAACCTGGCAAACACACATCAAAGTCAGTCAATCCTTGACTTGGTAAAATAGCCAATGGTTCAGGTGTAAAAGACAGAACCAAGAAAAACAAAGGGCCTCTTCAACCTCAGAGTTGACAACCACTCATCAAGATCACCTGACCACTATTCAGTGCCGCTTCCATGAGAAGATGATCAGCTTCTTCTTGGGCAACTGGCAAGATGGTTCCCGCAGAATCTGGCAAAAGCCGCCTATGCAAGTTTCTGACAACACTGTAATCTCCTCTAGTAGCAAAAGCACGCATCATGGAAAGATAAAGGTGAGGCTTGGGCCTCAACTCTGGATTCCAACCAGCAAGCTTCAGTATTTCTCCAAAGATGCATTGAGCACCTGAATGCCCAAAAGATAGTCCGACAAGGAAAAGAGAAACGACATACAAAATAATCAACTGATGAGTGAAATAAAAGGACCGACCACAAGCAAAAAGACTAATTGTTTTCTTTCCAGAAAGTAAAATTCCTCAATATCCACACAAACTTCACAGTGAAAAGAACAGCAAGTTAAAATTCAACCAGCAAGCCGGACTGCCAAACATATATTAATCAAGACATAACAGTAGCATCCTCATTATTATAGTTATTATTTTGAGATAAATAGCAACTAAAGATTACGGGAGCAGTTTGATAATTGTAATGTTGACTTGACTTACAATAATGCAAAATAAACAACTAGCTCTTTTCTTTTTCAGCAACAACTAGCAGTTTGTTTAGTAGCTAGTAATTTCTTGTCTTCAACTAGTATTGTTAGAGGCAGAATTTCTCCTATTGGTAGCCACCAAAATCATCTATTCTGACGACCATAACTCCACATCATTTTTTTTTTTATGCTGTTCCCACAATTTCTGTTCAATAACAGAACAGCAAATAAAATAACAGCATACCCCTAATTGAGCCACAGTTTAATAAAGCATCAATTATTGCAGTGTAAGCTGTTCGATCAATATACAATTCCTGACATGATTTCATTTCCAGCACTGCTTTCAGGACTGACGAGAGATCTTTGGCCTGCCCAAAACCCTGCATTTAAAAGAAAAGACTAAGAGATAGAAAAAAGAGAACCCTGACCCCCAAGCCTGACAAAAATATAAATCTTGCTTTCTGATGCAACCTGGTCATAATTTCTCAACTACAAATAGAAGCTACACAAGAGGCCACGCCTTTTTTGTTTTTCTTGGGCAAAAAGCAAGTTGCATATAATAGATTATTGTTCATGCTGTCAGAGTATAAACATCTATTTTAATAAAACTACTGAAATAACAATAAATAACACAATACAATCCTTTTTTTAATAAAAAATTGAAATTTTTCGGAATTCACTAATCTATACCATGAAGATTAACAATGGACTCATAAAACAGAAAAATGTGATAGCACAGACCTTGAGCAGTGTTGTGTATGTCACGATATCTGGCAAAACATCATTTTGGGTAGATCTCTGTGCTTCACCCTATAAAAACAAAAATTATAATTTCAGAAACCTCCATAGATCTCACTCTACAGAAAATAAGTGATAGCTCTTGAATGCATACTAGTTACCTTCATGTTTTCAAAAAATTGCATTGCAGTATCCATGTTTTGACTCTTGACGCATGCTAATATGAGAGTGTTGTAGGTGAGCCTGTCAGGCTTCATTCCATGACGTAATATTTCATTGTGCAAGTTTACAGCATCTTGAGGAAAACCTGCGGTGATATACCCCTAGAATTCAAAAAAGTAAAAACTCTTCAAGGTTAAAGATTGTTAAGATTTGTCTTACCTCTTTGCAATCACTACTAGTTACTAACGCAAAGCACCATTCATACGGAAACTTTGTTTCTTGAGAGATCAAATAAAAGAGCAAAACCTTTATGAGTAAGTTGTATACTGAGACTGAGAAATTGCCACCTTCACGAAGTAGATAACCATAACGAGCGAGGAGGCCATTTGCACGACGTAAATCTCCTGCACTATAGCATTGCATGTAAAGCATCATCAGTCAACACAGGCTTTTGGATTTGACAGGGGCCAGAATTCATCTTATCAACTAGCACAAAGCAGTCTGAAGCTTAAAGTGCCTCATGACACCGTAGACTGATTCATCCTTCAGCTAATTTCCGTCCTCAATTACAGTAAACCAGTTGAGCGATAAATAAGTGTGGAGCAGACCTTCTGACTCACCTGCATCAATTATGGCATTTAGCAGACCAAAGATCAACGATGCTGACAACTTCGGATTTCCAGGCGCAGTACCTTTATCCACGGATTCAAGCAATTGAAAGGCTTCATCAACTTTCCGCATCTCGCCTAAGCCCTTTATTACATTAAAAAAACAAAAAAACAAAAGTTCCAACCATGCTCAGAAAGAACACACAATCGTTTAGCCAAGATAAGTGCATTAGTAGAAAGAAGGAGACTATATTCTAAACGGATGATTACTTAGTTATGGCTATACTATATGCATCACATAAAGGGAAAATGCAAGAAACGATTGATTGCAACACCTTTAAAAGCGTGGCATACGTGACAGTATCCACGCCACAGCTCCCCGGTTTTGTCATCTCATTAAATATCCTAAGAGCTGAATCAATATCACCGCAGTGAACACAGGCCTCCACGACCGCGTTCATGACAATGGTGTTCAGCTTCCCAAAACGTTTCTTGGCAATTTCAATCTCTTCGAATATCTGAGGAAGAACACCATCAAGCGCAAGTGTTAATGTTCCCCCCAATCGTATTCACCGATGAAAATAGCCCAAACCGAACGGAAGAAAGACAAGATTCATTTTCCCCCGTAATCAAAGCAGAGCAGCAGCTAGTAGCAACATAGAAGAAGACAATTGAAGGGGAGAAAAGAACCTGTTGAAGCTGCCTTCGGCGTGTGAGTTGGACGATTCGGGAAGTGAAGCACTTAAGGTTCTTTAAACGCGGATTGGCGGTGGTCTTCAAGCGACGCCGTGTCGGAGCAGAAGAAAATGTGACAAGAAAGGAAGAAAGTGGCTTTGAGTTAGATTGTGTAGGAGCAAAGTAGGACAGAATGTGAGTTTCGAGCATTGTTGGAGGTGGCAAGGAAGTCGAATGATACAAAGAAGGAGGTGGCTACCCATCGACCATGGAATACAGCGTAACAGGGAGAAGCTCCGACAGGATAAAATGCCCCATGAATGTGGATATTTCACTCTCAGACCCGTGGAAGTGAATCAAATGGCGGAGAATTGTGTGGCAGAAATGAGATCAGGCCCTACGCCCTGGGCTACGTAATGGGCCTTACCCAATGAATAAGACTGGACTGCGGTGGTGGGCCCATCCTCTTATTTTCTTTTAAACCGACAGTGATATGTGCTGGTCACAGGCTTTGACAAGAAGGGATCAATCAAGAACGGAGCCAGATTCATTTGCAGTAAGCGCCTTTTCTTACGGAATAAAAATAAAACACCGTCTGCCGTCTAATTAGAATTGTCATGCATGGATGGATTCGGTTGCGCTACAACAAATTTTTATCCTGCGGCTTGTGTATTTTTTTGTTTTTTTTAACGTTGGAAAGTTACGTCAAGTTGTTTGGAAGTGACAGGTGACAAATGACACACGTCTACTGCGGGCATGAAAGAGTGTGTGAATGAAATGGACGTCAAGTTTTTTAAAATGAAAGAAGTGGAACAGATGCAAGGGAGCGCCGCGATCACCTACTCAACAAGATCATTGAGGGGCGCGCAAATCTTGAGGGGGGGCTGTTATGCTCACTGTTTGTGATTGTGAAGGCAGTGAAAATTATGACACTTGTGGTTTTTGTTTTACAAGAAAACAACGCTTGTGGTCATCCATAAATGATTGAAGAAACCGAAGAGGAGGCCATTAATTGGAGAATTAAATAGACAATGGTCCAAGAAGAACCACATGAAAATCTGGAGAGCACTTCATCTTGGACCGATGGCTGGTATAATAAATAGAGCAGTCAATTAGGGTCGAGCTTGTAGGGCCGACCTTTTTAGGTTTGAAAAAATTAAAGGTCAAACTTCTATTTTAATTTTAAAAAAGTAAATCGGGCTTAAAAGGTTTTTAAGCCCGAAAATAAAAGGGCCGGCCCTTTAGGGTCAGGGCAGGCCCTTTTAAGCCCTAGTATTTTTTTTTTGAAAAAAAACATCAGTTCTTGGTCTCGCCTCTCGGTCCAGAGCTCCAGGGACCAGATGTCCAGATCCACTCCAGGTCTCTAGCACACTACACGCACGATCCAGATCCTCTCGCCTCTCGGTCTAGATCCTCTCGGTCCAGATCCACTCCAGACGCATGTGACTGAATGATTAACAGAGTAAGCATTAAGCAAGGAACCCTAGTCTCATTCATTTCAAGTTTTCAACTTCATTCGTGCAGTCGTGCCTCATCTTCTTTCATCTTCGTGCTTGGCAGTCAGCTCGTCTCGGTCAGCTCCTTTCATCTTCGCCGTCGCCTCAGCTTAGTCCGGTCATGCTTCATCTACTTAGCTACCCAGTCCGATTTTGGGTTCTCTTTTGTGCTCAGTCTGATCGTCCTTCATCTTCCTCAGCTCAGTTCGGTCATCCTCCATCTTCTTTGCCTCAGTCCGACCGTGATTACTTTGAGTTTCAGCATCTATTCTTCGCCTCTTCAGCTCATCAATCTGCTATGCTTATCTGATCGAAAAACAAAGCCTTCTCATCCTTGGTAAATTCCTCATTTGCTCAGAAAATATAGCCTCATCCTCCTCGGTATATTCCTCTCTGCTTAGAAAACAGAGCTTTCTCGTCCTCGGTATATTCCTCATCTGATCTGAGTATTCTGTTTATGTATGGAAAATATGAACTTTTTGCCAAAATGATAGGAAAACCAAAATCTGAACATCTATTTTTTAAAAATATTCCTAAGACATGGTATTATTATTTGTTGCCTTGCCCTGTTAAAATGACTTATACCTATAAAATATATCTTTCTGCATAGTCATTGAAATTAAGGAAGCTTTGTGAATTTTATTAATTTTTTTTTTACAGTTCAGTATGTCTTCCTCACAAAAGAGGAAGGCAATTGATATTGGTTCTGGAAGTAATGTTGACACCAAAGGTAGTGGAAGTAGATCAACAGCAACACAATCTAAGGATAAAGAATTATTGCCTCCCCCTAGTACTGGAAAAAGAAAGGTATCTGCTACTCTAACTCAAAACATTGAGGAGTCCCAAGTTGAAGCTAAAAAGGGCAGAACTTATACTTCTGATGTGTGGAGCTATTTTACTCGAGTTATTGTTAATGATAAGGTAAAGGCACAGTGTAATGGTTGTCAGGGATTATTTGCTTCAGGTAGGGCTAATGGAACTTCACATCTAAGTTGTCATGTTAAGTCATGTAAAGTTTTAGAAAAATTTCATGATGTTGGGGTTATGTTGATGGATAAAGATGGAAACCTTAGGTCTCAAAAAGTTGATGCTAAGCGTATTCGAGAAATAATTACCATGGCCACAATTGTACATGATCTGCCTTATTCATTTGTTGAATATACATGGATTAAGGAATTGATTATGACTTTGAATCCTGATGTTAAGCTTATTACTAGAAACACAGTTATGGTAGATGTTATGAATTTTTATCTCAATCAAAAGGATAATTTGAAACAAAAGATTAAGAGAAGTATTGGTAGGATTTGTTTGACATCTGATTGTTGGACTTCTGTGACTTCTGAAGGCTATTTGTGTTTAACAGCTCACTTTGTTGATGAAAAATGGAAACTAAATAATAGAATTCTCTCATTTTGTAAGATGGATCCTCCACATTCCGAAGTAGAGTTGTCTAAAAAGGTGTATGAGTGTTTGGTAGATTGGCAAATTGAAAAGAAAGTGTTCACAATCACTCTAGATAATGCATCAGCTAATGATAATATGCAAGACATACTGAAATAGAGATTGTCTTTGATAAATGGCTTGGTTTGTAATGGAGAATTTTTTCATGTGAGGTGTTGTGCCCATATCCTTAACTTAATTGTTCAAGAGGGCTTAAAAGTCACAAGCTCAGCTTTGTATAAGATTAGGGAAAGCATTAAATATGTAAAAGGATCACAAGCAAGGTTGATTTTTTTCAAAAAAATTGTTGAACAAGTTGGTGGGATAGACACCTCAATGGGCTTGCGGTTAGATGTTCCCACTAAATGGAACTCCACTTATGCTATGCTTGAGAGTGGAGTTAAATATCGTGGTGCTTTTCTACAATTGCCTTTACGTGATTTAAATTACAAGCATGGCTTGACAAATGAAGAGTGGCATAGAGCAGAGGCAATGTGCACATTTTTGAGGCCATTTGAAAAGATTACAAGGTTGATTTCAAGTTCATCATATCCCACTTCAAATATGTATTTTATGCAAATATCAAAAATTCAAATGTTGCTTGATGCAAATAAGGTGAACGCTGATCTTGTCATTCAAGAGATGGCCACAAGAATGAAAGAGAAGTTTGACAAGTATTGGACTGATTATAATGTCATCCTTGTACTTGGCGTGATTTTTGATCCACGATGGAAATTTAATATGATACAATATTTTTACTCAAAGATTGACCCCATTACTTGCCATAAGAAGGTTGCTGACATCAAGAGCAAGTTAAATTTCATTTTTTATGAATATTCAAATGTGGGGACATTATCCACCGGTGTTGGAGGTGAATCAAGTTCTAAAACTTCAACTGTTACAATAAATCGTGCATCCCACACTGCAAGTGTTTCAACATCATCAGCGACCACTTTTGATGATACATTTGATGTAAGTTTTAAATACTTTGTCAATTAATATTGTTTTACTTTATTAGTATTTAAGTGATATTTTATTAATTATTTGGAAATTATAATGCAGGATTATCAAGATATTTATACGAGTATAGATGATTTTTCTTTGGACAAGTCTGAATTAGAGAATTACCTGGACGAACCAATACTTAAGCCTCATAATTGAAAAGATTTAGATGTATTGAATTGGTGGAGGAACAACCAACATCGATTTCTAATTCTTTCAAGAATGACTGCTGATATTCTTAGTGTTCCAATCACTACTGTGGCTAGTGAATCAGCTTTTAGTATTGGTTCATGTGTTTTGACAAAATATCAGAGTTTTCTTCTTCCAGATAATGTTGAGGCTATCATTTGTACTCATAATTGGTTGCATGGTTTTGAGTTGAAGGGTAACTTATTATTATTTACTTACTTAGAATATTTTTCCATTCTTTAAATACTTTAAAATTATGATTTTGAATTATTATGTATTGCAGATAATGAGGATGAAGAAGGAAGATATGAAAAGCTTAACATATTTGCCATCCATGAGGATCCACAAGGAGAAGGATCAAATCATATTGATATTGATGATGAAAATCATCAAGATTTAACTGATGATGCTACTAATGTGTAATTGATATCAAAGTTAATTTTGAATTTTTTTTATTAGACTTAAAACTTTTGTTGTGTGAATTGATTTTATTTTATTTTTTTATATTTAATGTGATGTGTAATAACTTTGTGAGAATTTTAAATATATTTTTTAAAATTTTAAATTAAAAAATAAAAAAATAATTAGGGCCAAGCCCTGAGAGTTGGCCCTAAGTCCTGAACATTAAGGTTGGATTGCTAAAAATAAAGCCCTAATGTATAATCGAGCTTAAAAGGACCAGCCCGTTTAAATCCTGATCCTTAAAAGGCCGGCCCTTTAAAATCGAACCGAACTTAATTGACACCTCTAATAATAAGCTTTGAGACTTCCACGCTCCCTCTTTACCTACTGCAGCGTGCACGCACTGGCACCCCCAAACTCCAACTGATTGGATCCATCTTCTCCCCCTAATAATCTTAAAAACATCTTAACTCTCCCTGTTCCCCACCACCGTACTTTCATTTTCTTTAATTTTCTCTCCCGCTCTCCCCCAACCCATATTTGAGACTCCCCCGCAAATCTCCTATCTTTTGATTTCTCTGCGCCTCTCTCTGTTTTCTTTTTAATTTCATATGATTCTGCTGGATTTCCCTAAGCCGTCCCCTATATATCCCGGCCTTGCTTTCACATCAAAACGCGCCGACGCAAATATTATACTAAATACCAATTCCCATCTGCCACAGCTTTTCTCACTTACCCGAATCTCCTTCGTGATCTCTCGCTCTCACTTCCTCTGAATTCCACACGTCGCCTATATATCCAGCTTTTCCGTCTCCTTCCTCATTCATCTTCATTCCTTCCCCGTACGTACTTGGCATTTTCACGGTCAATTGACGGGCATTCTACATGGAGATCGCCGAGAAGGAAACCAGCAGTAAGGGTTCGGACTCGGAGGCTTTGATTCCCGGATTACCCGATGAAGTCGCGGAGCTTTGTCTTCTTCACGTTCCTTACCCCTACCAGGCGTTAGCGCGTTCGATATCGTCTTCTTGGAACAGAGTCATCACCCACTCCACTTTCCTCCTCTCCAAGAAATCCCTCTCTCTCTCCAGGCCTTACCTCTTCGTGCTGGCCTCCCACAAATCAACGGCCAGGGTGCAGTGGCAGGCCCTCGACCCCGCTTCGGGCCGCTGGTTCGTGCTGCCCCCCATGCCCGCTCCAAAACCTTCATGCCCGATGAGCTTTGCATGCGCGTCGTTGCCGAGTCACGGCAAGCTCTTCGTCATGGGTGGCATGCGCTCCGACACGCAGACCCCCATGGACTCCACCTTCGTCTACCGCACATCCACCAACCAGTGGTCCCGACTATCCCCCATGAAGACCGCCCGATCCTACTTCACCGCCGCCGAGATCAACGGCAAGATTGTGGCCGTCGGGGGGGCGGAGCCCCCCACGATGAATTCAATCAGAGAAGTGGAAATCTACGATCCGGAACGAGACGCGTGGGAGTCGCGTGCTAAGACGGAGACGAACATGGGGAGGTACGACTCGGCGGTAATGGCAGGGAAGCTGTACGTGACGGAAGGGTGGACGTGGCCTTTCATGTTCCCGCCGAGAGGGGCGGCGTACGACGGAGAGAGGGACGCCTGGGAGGGGATGAGGCAGGGGATGAGGGAGGGGTGGACGGGGGTGAGCGCGGTGGTGGGAGGGAGGCTGATAACGATATCGGAGTACGGGGACGGTCCGGTAAAGGTGTACGACGAGGAAAGGGACAAGTGGGAACACGTGAGAGGGGAGAGGTTCCCGAGGGAGAAGCTGGAGAGACCGTTGACGGTGAGGGGGGAGCAAGGGAGAATCTTCGTGGTGGCGTCGAGGCTGAATGTGGGGATCGGGAGGGTGGAGGTTGAACACGACAGGGAGAAAGGGAAGGAGACAGTGAAGGTGAAATGGGAGGTGGTGGAGGCACCAGAAGCTTTTGCAGAGTTAACGCCTTCTCACTGTCAAGTGCTCTACGCCTGAATTAGCCGAGCCAGCACCATACCTGAAATACAGTGATCTGGTGTTGTAATGTGTGGGAATATTGTGTCTCCACGTAGTTCGGCTCTCGTTTAGAACAGGCACTTGGTTTTTTTCCCGTGCTCTGTCCTTTGCTACGCTCAACTTCAACCAATCCACCACGTCGCTCTGTTTACCTCCTTTCGTCTTTGTATCCACGGAATACATTTTATATACATACACACACACACAGTTGAATTGAATTTGATGACATGACGACATGACGCTACTCTTGTGTGTTTGTTTGATGAGAGTGAATAATTGAACAAAGAATAATAAGGAGTGGTTATCGATCTACTGAGACCTTTTTGCTTTAAAAAAAAATTGCGAATGAAGCCCATCGTCTCTGGTAAATTAAAATCCAGTGGACACACGAGTAGGGGAAATAGAGAGAGTAGTGAGAGCATAATAAGTGAGGACATAAGAGGATAGGAGCGTATTCTGCAAGGCGCGTGAGAGTGGCCGCGACGGCAGACTTCAACAGGAGAAAGATAAGAGAAGGAAGGATAGGCAGGAGGAGGAGAGATGACGTCAGGGGGGGCAGTCAAGGAAAGGAGAGACGCGTGGAAACGTCTAGATGCCCGCGCACGCGCTTCCTTTTTGTGAATATATGAAGCCATCCCTGCTGCTGCTTCTACACAAAGCTATGTTGTTCCGGAATCCAGACCAGAAAGAAGAGACCCTCAACCTGTGTTTCTGTATAATTATAAACATATAAAAGTGTAAATCCGATCAAGAGGAAGGAAGAAAGGAAGAGGAAAGATGTGTTTGGTGTTTGTGTGCGACGAGGACGAGCGAGTGGTGTCGAGGCAGATGGCGCCGGGGGCGTGCCCGTACTGCGGAGGCATGGTTCAGGCGGTGGACGTGGAGACCCAGTGGAGGTTCTGCTTCCTGCCCTTCTACTTCAAAACCAAGCGCCGCTTCTACTGCTCCTTCTGCAACAGGCGCCTCATCCTCCAGTGATCTTTAGACTTCAATGCCTCTCTAATTTTTCTTTCCCTTCTTCAATTTTGTCTCCCTCTGTAATTCCACCACTTATAATACTAATACTAATATCTTCCTTTTAATTTTTTTTTTTTTTGTCGTTCTTCTTCTTCTTCTTCTTCTTCTTCTTTTTTTATTGTAATTATATCAATCAATTATCGACTGTAAACGTCGTTACTTCTATTCCCGTTATTGAAACATCGCCTTACGACTAAATTTTTGTATATGTACCTTTGATCCCACTTCGTCCCTAATTAACTCCACTCGGAATTCCAATTTCCAACACCAAATCTGACTGTTGTCTCATCACTCATTAGCCAGATATGTGGCTCTTTTTCCCGGCTCTTCACACTTCATGGCACCTTCCATACCTCACCCAAAATAGTCCGACACCGACTTATTACCCTCGCAGGTCGCTAAAAGCCTGAAACAAACGGGAAAATATAAACAGGCTTGTCGGCTTTAGCCGCCCTTTTTCTCGCCCTTCATTACCTTATCTCAGCTTTTCTCGAATCATTCTTTCCGTGTTCACTTTCTAGAAATATTCTTTTCTCGCCAAAATGTTCGCGCCGTTGTTGAGTTGCCAGAAGTTCTTCACGCTGTCTTTTATTATATCCCGTGTCGAGAATCTTCTTTCCCCGCGTACTTCCGTTTGTTTTGTCACGTGTGATACTCTCTACACAATTTGGGCGACATCAAACGGGAGCCCATGCCCAGCTCATCAAGTAAAAAAAAAAAAAACATGATAGCTGCAAACATGGGCCAGCATAACTTTTCTGTTTGGTGGATCAAAAAAAAATCGAGATAATTATATATACCCCAAATAAATCATAGAATTCTTTCTACCAAAAAAAAATATATATATCATAGAATTCCGCCTCCTGGTGATGCAATTAAATCTTCTGTTGGTATACCTTTACCACCTAATATATTCTATTATTAATTAATTCAAACGCCAGTTTTATATTTTACCATTAGGTTGCAGATTCTGGACATATTTTTCTTCAACGCATGGCATGCGAAAGGTGATGATCGTGCACGAATAAAATGAAAATACACGTGTTGAAAATTCCAAGAGTCTGCCACATTAAAAAAAAAAAAGAGGAAAAACGATTGGGAAATTTGAATTTGAGAATTAAGGCAAGCAATTGTGGCGGACGTGTTGGCCGTGATGAGTATAGGAATAGTCAATGGAGTCGCATCGCAGGTTCGAAAGACAAGGTTAGACTTGTCGTTTTGAAGTTCAAACCAGGGCCTTATTCGTCAATTCAATACATAAATGACGACCTCGCACTTGTTCACATAAAAATTCTGCGTCTTGTTCACTCCCAACTTCCGCACATTTTCCATTTGGATAAGAAGAATTGAATTTTCCACATCTTCTAGACTCCCCAACAACTCTTACACGGACTCATAGACCCTTTAAAAGACGCAAATGATTCTTCCAACCATTAAAAGAAAAGCTAACATTTACATCTTGTTAAAAGGTTCATGTCTTCATCGTATATTACAAGTGAAATGGAATCTCAAAAACATCATTTTGTTTTTTCATTTATTTTTTAGACCTTGTATTCAACTTCCTGAGCTTCGCTCCAATTTGAGCTGAAATTACTTAAAAAGGCCCAAACTAGTACGGATGAATCACTTGTATGACTTATATTTAAATAAAAGTATTATTGTAAAACAATATTAGCATGTGATTATTATTATTATTATTATTATTTGAAAGAGCTATAACAAAATACGTACGCTAAATTCTGGGATAGAGCATGAGGAGTGAAACGCGTCATGTTAGGTTTCCCAACTAGCAGCTACCAAACAGGAATTTGTGAAGCATTCCATTTGCCTTTTCTTTTTCAGATCCCTACCCGCCACCCAACACGGTCTTGCATTCACGAGAATCCACAATGCAAGCAACGCTCTAATCTGATCGGATTGATACCGTTGATGCTGTCTTAAATAATACCAATGCCATTAGCATCATGATAATAGCTTTGACCAGGTCAACTGAGCGATGAAATCAAAATATCGAAACAAATCAAATACAAGTACTGACTTAACAAAATCTAAAATGCACCCAAAACAACGGGTATAGTTTTAGCTTGGACGGTTTAAATTAATCTTGAAGATATTAATAACCATGCTTATACTCAGGCCTTCTGTTTCTATTTAGGCTTTACGACGCAACAACTTTTGAGTTGAGCTGGAAGGTTGATCAAGAAGTACAATAAATTCACACAACAGTCCAGACATAAAAAGATTGGAATCGCAATCAGCGTGTGATACAAAAACACATATCCGCCTTGATGGTGAGGACCACCTCCAAAATGATCAACAAAGGGCCGAACAAGAACACACTATATTTATTTATTTTTTATTTAAAAAAAAAAGAAAAGAAAGAAACATCATCCTTGAAATGTCAGGTTGACCCATGTTATACAGTAAAGGCGATGGCATTGTTCAGTAACTGAAAGAATCCGGGATGGATTTTATAGTTCATTGATTAAAATAAAGAAAAGGACCGAAGAACCCTTCAAATTGGATTGGATTGGATTTCTGGGAGTAGAGACAAGAGGGCCACTAGGTGCAGGTAAAAATAAATTTAGAAAACAGAAATGAATATGAAGTCTTCTCCTTTCACAAATATCAAGGGTCCTAAAAGATAAGATAAGATTTGTCCGAAGATACGTTTTTGAATACTGACGATGCTTCCTTCTGTCTAAATCTTGATGCCCACACATGCACACAAACCTAACCCCTCAATCCCACTGGCCCAGTAATCCATCTAACAATTCAAATCTGTATTCGCTTTCTTCTCTCTTCTTCCTTCAGCTTTGAATATCATATCCATATCCATCCACCTCAACACTCCAATTATAAATATGGGCAACAATAACGCCATAGCCAGTCCTCCTTTATACTTTGACAGGCACCTCTGAGGGTATGCACAGAATATACTTTTGAGATAAATTAAAACTTTTTCAACCCACATAGCAAGATAAGATTTCTAATATATATATTTCACACTTTTATCCTGTAATTTTTATTTAGTAACAACATGATCATCATCCGCATCACCACCACCAGCAACAAAGAAAGAATACCAAGAATGAAAGCTATAGGATGAAATGTTTAAAATTAATCATAGCCTTCGTCGTCGTCGTTTTCTTCGTCATGTTCTTGCAGATCTGCTAGAGAGAAACTCCTGGCCTTCATGCTTCCGAGTCTGAGCCTCATCCTAGCGGCATAAGATTCCGGGACTCTGCTCTGTCGAAGCTGAACCGGATTTTCGTGTTTGTTTTCGTGCGGTGACGAGGACGCTGGGGACGGAACTTCTCTGGCTTTTTCTTCTTCGTAGACGTCGTCTTCATCTTCCTCCACGGGCAGGAGAGGCATGGATTTTGGGTTGGACCAGCTGTAGAAACCCGATCTTCTGCACAGCTTGGACGCGATTAGAAGCCGCCTTCTCTTGTTGAAGGGATTCTCCTGTTTCTTCAAGTCTTTGACGTTGGTGATTTGAGATAAATCGGAGAATGACTTCGATTTACCATCGAAATGGCTGGACAATCCCCTCCTGAAACCAATCCAAATGAAAATCCGATATAATATTCTTTCAGACGATGGATCTGGAAATTGAAACCCAGAAACTAAAAGGATCAAGTAAAACCTTGTTAACCAGAGCATCGGAATCTGAGACAAGGCACATCAGATTCCATAAAACGCGAATCAAATCGGCGAAGAATAGGACAGAGAGAAAAAGAGGGTACTAACTTGATAGGAAGCGAGTCTTCTAACGCATCAAGAGATCCCAGGCCATGGAACTTGCTCTGCACCTCCTCCTCGTCTTCACGGGCGTCGCCGTCCTTGCTAAAGGACAGATCGTTGTCGCTATCGTCGGGGGTTCCGATAGACGAGGAGCTCTCGGAGGACTCGGCGTCCAAGGAGGCGGGGCACGCCGAGAGGCAAGAAGGAACGGTATGGTCGTCGGGGTCGGAGGTGGGAAGGTGGTCTCTTGGGTAAGACGGCGGAGAAGGAGGGGAGGATGAGGAAACGTCGATGGTGAAGGTAGGACCCACCAAAACCTCCATGAGAGGAGAGTGAGAGAAGGAAAAGGAAAGAAGCAGAGGGGTGGGACTAGCCTTGGCCGGTGCGTCGTCTCCGTCGGTTGGGTTTCCAGGCGATGGGGTTTGTTGTCATGAATGGAGGAGTGAAGAGCGAGAGAGCGTGAACATGTTCATTTACGAGAGCAGAGAGGGAGAGAGAGATGAAGGGAGAGAGGCACAGGGAGGCTGGCGTTTGGTTTAAATAAGAGAGGAACAAACACGGAGTAATAAATGAAGTGCGAGAGGGAGGGAGGGGAAGGAAAGAGAAACAAGAGAGAGGAAGGAAATGTACGTAGATAAGAACGCGGCTTGACAGGAACGAGACTGAGACCAAATGTGATTTTTGATTTTTCATTCTCTTTTTATGTGTTTGTACTATTTATTTATTCAGTTTTGAGACCGTCTCAGGTCTGGACTAAAATTCAATTTTTTTAATTAATTTGTAAGTAATTTTTTTTATTTTGCTTAATGTTGGATTTTAATGGGCAGAGTCACGGGAAACAAATCACAAGATGGTCAAATTATGTAGAAATCTTAATGTGGGATTGATTACTTATTTTCATAATAGTTTTTTTGTTTTGAAAAAATTTTTTTTGAAATTTTGTTTTTTATTATCCATTCTAAAAAGCACAAAAGTTAAATTGTTTTAGAGAATTAAAAGCTATACATGCTTTAGACGTTTTGTTTTTTTTTTTTTTTACAAAATTTAAGAAAAGAGATGTAGAGTCTGTTTGGTTTATTTTTTTTTTTATTTTTTTTTTTGAAAGAACAACTATAATATGTCACTAATTTTATTATTGAAAATATGGTAGTCTTGGCACGTTTATCATCATCATTAATTACTTACAATCATTACTATTAAGTTATTTTTTAACTTTAAAAGTATTTTTAAATTGATGCAATCAAAGATATCTTCATCTTAGTTTGTTTCGAAAAACAATTTTAAACACTACTTGCAAAGCACTTTTTTTTTTTTGGTTCAAAATTGAAAGACAAGCCTGAAGGTGCAAATCTTAGTTACTCATACACTGCTGATCAGCTCACAAATAGGCTATGCATTCATCAATAGGTTCATTCAAAATACATAATTCAGCATTAATGTAATGCGCATTTTAAATCAAGCAATCAGCTACCTTTATATTTTTTTAGTTGTAATAAAAAATTTGCACTTCACTAATTGAGAAAATCAATTTTTGTATCTTAATAATATATAAACACAAAGGATGGTTCAATCCCTTACCAATCTATTATCAATGGATAGCTTTCAGTAAGCCAAAATGACATTGGATTTTTTTATGTGATTTTGCTTAGCAAGTATAAGACCCAAATATAATGTAGATAGTTCAACTACAATAAGGGAAATATATCTGAGTTTATTTTGAAAAACTAGGATTCAATTACCTCAAGCGTCTCGAAAGACTCCCCAACATATAGCAATTCCTTGATAATTCACCGGACCCATCAACACCTAAGTGAAGATATTAATAAAATTCCTTGCAAGACAGATTTGAAAAATAAAAAATGGAAGCAAAAACCAAACAGGCACATAAAATATAATGTTTTTACTAATAATAGTTATATTAATAAAATAAATTATTCTTTCACATGTTATTAACCAATTTAGATAGGTTTTTCAAAATAATAATTTAAACAAGCTTTTTTTTTTTTTTTAGCTTCCAACACTCGTTTTGAAAACTTATTCCATAGAACTGTTTTAAGAGTCTGGAGAGGAAAGAGAATCAAACGAATCCTTAGATCCTCTCTTGGCATTATTTTTTATGTAACGAGCTTATGGCCCTCATGGAGAATAAAACTCAAGTCGGAAGGTCTTCAGTGGTCGATCGGTGGCTGGAGTTCTGGATAATTATCAAGAATAGATGACTTAAAAATCAATGATTATTGTATTTTAAAACTGTAATGTATTTTTTGAGAAATTAGGTGTTTAAAAATATAAGATATTTTTAAATCTTTCAAAATATAATCATTATCTTTTTTCAAAAGTGCCCCTATTAATAATAACTTTATATTTATTATATAGTATTTAATAGGGATAAATATAAAAAGATAGAGTTAGTTGAAAGTAAGTAATTACTTTATTAAAAGATAAAATTTGATTAAAAATACCTTATATTTTTAAATAGAGAGAATATTTGTTTAGATATTAAAAAAAATTATAACTTCAACTAAAATTAGTAAATTGATATTAGAAAAAAAAGTCAATAAATATGACGTGATTAATGTTTGGACATATTTTTTTAAAAAAATAATTAGATAAATTAAAATTTATTTAGATGATTTGATTCGAAAACTAGTTAAAATATCTAATGATAAGACTATTAAATTTAACATTACAATCAATAGGTTAAAAATTTTAAATATTCAATTACGAAAAGTTAAAATAAATTCATAAAGTATTAAAATATTCAATTGATATAATCCACAAGTTGATCTATAATAATATCACGAATATGATGTGTCTGCCTTAACTATCCAAACAGATTTGATAAGGGTGCCTATTAGCATCTTGCTCGTGGACATTTATACTTTCATTTTCGGCTCATATAAATTGCTCATTAGTAATTGAATTTCTCTTGATAGAGTTATGTAATGCCATCGTTGCACAAACAATTTTAATTTATGTTTTATATCTAAATTTAGGCATTTTTTGTATAATTACAAACATATTTTTTCACACTTCATAACTCATTTTCTACAATTCATCTCAAACTTGAATGATAATAATTAAGGATTTTGCTATTGTTTATAAATCTTACAACTCGCCCAAAATTTGGAAGGCAACAATGTTTATAATAGTGTGGACCAAAATATTCATTTAGTGTTGGATAATCATAATCAATCAAATAATATTTAACTATTAAATAAAAAAATATTGTAAGTTTGATTAACAATGAAGCAATGCAATAATAACCAACGAGTTCATGAAGTATGCATGGAGATGGATGTAAAAAATTCATTAGAATAATTGATATGACATTATAAAAAATGCTCTGAGCTGTAACTTCCCATCCTTCAATGACAAAAATAAAAAACACATATCACAGTCACATACAAGTGTAATATTATGTATTGCATATTTTTTTTTTCAATAAATTTAATTTGACCAACAACATTAATTACACATGGCATGCAAGTACCATCAATCACTCCTATAGCATGTTTAAAAAATAATCAATATCATAGATTAATTCGAACTTTCGAACTATATCATTAAAGAAATAACATTTTTGATTATATGAAATGATAAAAAAAAGTTTTAGCAGTGACAACTGTCAATGGAGATTAACATGTGCATCAAACATGGTGGAAACCACCTGTCAAATTTTCTCTTCTTGTAAGGGAAGAAAACTGCATTGCTGTTTCTTTGGCAGCTGATGCTGGCAACGGGTGAAAACAGCATCACCTTCCCTCTTGTTCACTGCATCCCGAGAATTTGAGAAACTCCGGCGGTGAGGCTAGCTCGGTGGAGCATGATGACAACCAAATTGGCCGATCTTTTCTCTATCGGTCTGTTTATTACTTGTTTCTTTGCTTTCAGGCCATTGCTGCTTATTTCTTTCGCTTTTCTGGCGTTATCACATTTTGAGGTTTTTTTTTTTTAAAAAAAAAAAACAACCGCTGATGTTGTGATCCACCCGCAGGTTTCGTAACTAAAACTCCTACCTGCCCCCTCCTCGCTCTCCACCCTCTTTAATCTGCCTTATCCTCTTTTATCCATTAATTGCCTTCTCTTCTGAGACTGTTTCTCTTTCCTTTCATCAATTATTATTCTGACTCACCCTTATCCTCTTCGCATTTTTCACACTCCTTTTCGTCCGCTCTATTCATTCACCTGATCTGTTGCTCCACTGTTTGAACCACACTTTTAAATGATTTCACTCCAATGACACTAACCACCAGCCGCTATAGCTAACATGCAAAGGATACTGTGTTTATTGTCATGCTAACTAACTCTGTATTTATTTAAAAATAATAGGTAATTTTTTTAATTTTGTTCTCATTTACAATTAATATCATAATAAATTATTGCTTGAAAATGCAAACCATGGTAAGTAAACAGTGAGTAAAATTTAAAAAAAATATATGTTAATTGTTCTAACTTTACCTTGTAATGTTAAAGATTAAAAAAAAAAGGTTTGTTTTAGGTTAAAATCACACAAGTCACAACACAAGAGACGAAACTAAAAGATCAATGCTCGCATGTTTGTGTGTGGCTTATCCGGAATCGGAAGCTCCTCTTTCCTCGCCTCCAACTTGTAACGTCTTACTTGTCGATGGGCCACACTGCACGCGCATTTACCACACGTAACCAATTCTAATTTTCCTATATTCTCATGTATTTTAACTTCAATATTAAAAATATAAACGTTTTTTATGGTTTTTCTAAGTCGAATTATTATGTATTGCGTGCCGTATTTTGATAACTCATCAGCTCATACTTTTTTGTCACAACTCAATTTATAATTTTATCACTGGGTTAAAAAAAAAACATCAATATCGTCATTTTCTATTGATTTTTTGACATCCTCCTACATTGAATATTGATAATATAAATAGCGATTAACGTAATAACTGAAATTCGTTCAACACCTGATTGAGCTCTTAATTACATGAGCAAATAGCTTTTCGGATCCCAATTAAAATCCGCCGATATGATGTGGCCACAAGCCCAGCGTTGAATCGGATAAAACATATATCATAATTTCAATTTTGATATAAATTACATTCTTTGATCATTTTAAAAAAAAAATCCATACAATTCAGAATCTAAAGGAAAATTGCTGGAGACAAGACGTTGAATTTAATCTGAAGGAAGCATCGAATGTGGTAAGCATGTGTGATTTAAATTACATTGTATCATTATGACTGTGCCCTTAAGTACCCCACTTGCTTCTTCCAGCTAGCACCAAGGACCATGCAATTCTCACAATAAAATTTTGAACACCCTTTATCCTCCCACATGATATTTTTTGAACGTGACAATCGAGTCCGTTGTTCTTTGTAATGGATAACAAGCAATCATCTTAGTAAAAAATTTGACCATCCAAGTTCAAGGTCTTGGATTTGAATTTATGTATATGCAAAAAAAAATCACTTGAAGAATTATATGCAATCAAGACTGATAATATTTGAACGTAACTCATCAGTTAATGAATGTGAATATTATAGAGTATAAAATTTAGAGAAATGTAATATTTACAAGCTCTGAACAAT